ATTTATAAGAATAGGGAAATACATAACTCATCTGACGCCTGTCAGACTATTAACATGTCTGACTAAGCAGACAACCAATCATTATCATTCTCGCCTACACATCATAGGGTCTTCTAAATACATGGCTTTAAGACAGTCAACACTGATAACAGTGTTGTATTTTATTCTGTTACAAATGAACAAATAATTCGCTGATTCTTTGCAGTGAAATAAACCATTTAATTCTAATCGTTATCAGAACAGCAATGACGATAATAGGTCGAACAAACACACATGACCATACAGATGGGTTATCAAAACTTTTGAATCAAGTTAAACCTCATTTTATCTAGTGCGAAGAAACCTTGGAGTTGATAGTAAGAGAAATCTAAACATATCAATAAAATGTTTCGATTTATCTGAATTGTGTATTTGTCGATATTTTTCGAAGTATCATTAACCTCTGGCGTACGCACAGAGATACGGCCCCTTTGTAAATTATAGCGATATGTAGGTTGCACAAAATTTGACAAAATGTGCTACTTAGCTTTTTACATTGATTTACAGAGACATTAGTGTTTATATGTGTCTAGAATAAGCAGGGAAATTGAAATTATCGTTGGCTCTGTTTTTATCAGTGATATACAAATTTAGGTTTAACATGGAAGACTTTGAAGTATCCTTCGCATTCCTTTTTCGGAGGTTGTCGCAATAAGTCATGACTCACGAGAATGTGTGTTCTGCGTCGTGAGGCAGATTGAACGAAGAAATTGGTTGACGTAGACAAATGTTTAACTAAACACATTGAGGTTGTAAGCCTGCTAGGGCAAGAGTTCAGGTCGATATTCCTTGAAGAAGATGAAAGATCTACGAATTCTTCTGGAAGCTATTCCATTAACGAGTTCAACTGCCATATATCCAACATCAGTTTTTAACCCACTATGAATACCGAGTAACATGAGCGGGAGAGCGTAAGTCTATGGTGAAACGTTTGCAGCTGAGAGTGGGGTATTCAACGGTCGGTGTAATTGTTCTACTGACCCGTTGGCTTGTGTGTGGTGGGTGGTCGTTCAGAATCGTGTGATTCCTAGTAGTGTGATGAAACAACGGAAAAGTTTAGATTTGCAATGGCGTCTACAGTTTGAATCAACAGTTGAAGGATAGCCGTAGCTTGCTAAACATCCTTCCACAAAAACGCAGACAATTTTTCAGCAATAATTTTTTAATAGGTTCTGCTTCTGGCCACCGTGTGAGATTGTATAGATACATTAAGACGTAAGAGTTTCCACTCAAATCTGGTAGGGGTCCCACCAAATCAAGACGAACATGTCCAAAACGAGCGCCGACAGATTTGAAAGACTTAAAGTACAACAACCGGGATACCAATACTCTGTTTGAACAAAAAACTGACGAATCGAAACTCGTTTGATGAAGACGGATCGCATAAAGTGCTGTTAAGAGAGACCTAAATAAAGGCTAAAATAATGACATGTAGAAGCAACAAGTAAATGTCAGTACTGTCCAATAAAATGTTCCGGAGAAATTTTCGGCGTATTCTTTTCGCTTCACCGACCACCAAAATCCCTACAGCTACGTGAAGCCACATCTGTATACATCCACTCACGGCTCTTTAGTTAACTTTTCTATGTCAATGAGTAACACAAGACGCCTGAACCTCCATAAACCTAATATATAATCTGCAGTCACTGGGCTCACCCCAGAAGACTAATCTTTTGTAGCTCTTCCACACACCCCATTTTGCACCAGGACTAATACATTACAACTGGAAGCACCTAATTCACCAACTGTCAGACAGACTACACCTGAGGACTTCTCTTGATGATGAGAGCACATGTTGGCTAAATAGATCACGTATCTGTCGAACCATGCTACCGATTAATTCAGCTTTATCCAATTTCAGCCGTATAACAGAACAGGACAGAAAATAAGTTTTACTATGGCTGAAATGATCATGTGAGTACTTTAAACTTCAACATTTTTCACATTGTTTCCCAAAGAAGCTTCGGTATTTCTACAAACCCTCTATTCCTTGAGAATGAAGGACCTTAAATCCAGGTTTTTATGCCTAGTTCCCCCGAATGTCTTACGACGTCCAGTCGGCAGGGAAGTTGAACGAGACAAGGAGTCTGCAATTACACTGTACACCCCAAAAATGCGTTGTGTATCTCAAGTAAACTACAAAATATATTCAAGTTGTCGAGACTCTCGAGGTGCGCACTTGTCCGAAGATGAGCTTAAAGTGAATATAAAGGGTTCGTGATCGGTTAAAAGAGTGAAATTTGACCTTCAACAGAATGATGAAAGTGCCGCACACACAATATATAGCCGGAAGTTCCCTACCGAAAGTGCTATACCTGGATTCGGTGTCTAGCAACTATTTCGAGAAAAATGCTAAAAATTGTTAAGTTTGGTTAACCCATTGTTGTGTGACTCTTCCGACTGCCGAATCAGATGCGTCTACTGCGATACTAATGGGTGCTTCGGTGTCTCAGCATGAGAGCAATTTCGGTAAGGCGATAAGTTCCTTGACTGTGGAGAATGCTTTTTCCGTGACATCGTTCAAATTCACGGATTTTGCGTTTCCACGAAGTTGGTTGGTTAGAGGTTTCACAAGTGACGCGCAATTAGGTGCAAACCGCCGATAGAAAATTAAAAAGCCATTGAACGTACGTGATTGCTTGACTATAGTGGGTTTTGAGTAGACAAGAATGGCTGCCTCTTTGCATTTCGGGGAGCGGATACCCTGAGCGCCAGTAATGTGTCCGAAAAAGTTTAAGGAGTTAGTTCGACTCTGACATTTTTGAATGTTGACAGTTATGCAGTGTTTATGCAGTCGTTTGGAGACAAGGTACAGACGCTGAAGATGAGATTTTTGATGAAATTTACGATCAAGCAGTCATCAACACACATATGTACGAATTTGGGATTTCGAAAAGCGTCCTTGATGAACCTCAGGAAAGCTCGTACATCATTTCCTAAACCAGTATACACGAAAATTCGTAGAGACCGAAAGGTTTAATGACAGCGGCGTTAAGAATGTCGTGGGAACTCAAGTGTATACTTTAAATGAATCGATTTTCAAAAAATCAGTTGTACTTGTCAAGTTAGCTGTCAAATCGTGAACGTGAGGCAACAGTAACGATCAGGAATAGTTTTCGCACTCAATCGCTGATAGTCACCAGTTGAACGTCAGTCATTGCTGTCCGTTTCATGGGCCGTGTGCAGAGGAGACGCCTATGGGCTGTTGATAGCTGAACGATTCGCTGTTGGCCAACCTCAGCTTTTCGGGAGCTAGTCGGAACGCTTTCAGTAGCTGTGATATGATGTATGACATTGCCGATTACACATTGCAATTTTGATTGAGTTTGGTATATCGCAGAGTACTTATCGAGTATTTGTTGGTAGTATGGATTGGTCGTGTGTTTCATTCTGACTGGGGACAATTTATAACCGGAAAAAGTTGCGCAACACACAAATTAGTAATTCCGTCTACGCGCGTGTCGATGAGTAAATTATAATGTTGTGGCAGGTCTATTCCAATGATTGGCATCTGCAGCATAAAAAATGTAGTGACTGGGTTTGCGTAAGCCCACGTTAAGATACACATATGGCTTTCAGTGTGTGGCTGTCAATTATCCATTTGCCGCCTGTAAGTTGGAACCTGCCTCGTTCATTCGGTCGTCAGAATTCTCTGGAAGAACGCTGACTTCTACGTCAGTGTCAACGAGATGGCAGACTTTTGTTATCATATCAGTGATGTATAGCAGACGGTTATGTTCGTCGGCTACGGTTGCCGTTAATGCATGCCGGCTTGGAATTTCACCAAAACGTTAGTCTGTTAGCTTGGAGCTCAGAGAATTACAACTTTTCTGCAATTTCAAGACTTTCCCATACTGATTATGATACCAGTAACAATCAGGGTTATCTGTCTCTCGTAATCTAGAGGCAGATCGTTTTCGAAAAGTACTCTTCAGAGGGTTTTGAGACCATTCACGATCATGACGAACACTAAGGTAACGTGTTAGAGTATGGCAGAGTTCCGTGACGTCATTAATTGTCGCTTGGGGTTTTTCTTTGACTGAAGACCTAGGCGTTGGGAGTTCTGGTGACCTCTAGGGTTCGGCCGTAAGGTGCAGCCAGGTCGTCTACAGCGTTGTTTTGAAATCAAACAAGCACTGCTTGCACCTGCTGAAGAAGCTTAAACAAGTGAATTTGTCTAAACCGGCCATCGTCGAGGATCCGTCGACCAATGATGTTTCTCATCCGTAACAACATATCCGCTGCTGGGTCATGTTTTAGTTAGGTGTTATTGAGGGTCGCTCTAAACTTTATCGATCGGCTAGATATCCGCATTTAAGAATCGACCTTTATAGAGCTTCATAAAGTTCCAAAACACCGCTGGTAAACATATTAGGTGCGACGTACCAGTAGAATTCGCGCGGCAGTGTCTTCACCACTGCGAAGAGTTGTTCACGCGGGCCGGTCATGCCGTGCTCGTGCTCACAGTTTGCAAACAGGTAAACCTGATCATGCTATAAGTATTTGGAGTTTGACAACACCTTAATTAGTAACACCTTTTACAGATGGATTGTGCTAGCCCAGCGAAATCAGAAGTCAGAAGTGAAGAGGTTCAACCCACTCATGATCTGGCGCTAATTAAAACAAATGTGGCCAGCATTAAATAACGAAAACTCACAGAGCTATTGATTTTGGGGATTTATTTACCGACAAATACTGTTATCGTTATCACACATCAGTAACTACTTACTGACTCGCTTATTATCATCCCTATTTCTCGTTCTGTTCTCACGCTTTGTTCTTCTCACACTGTATGAATCGACAGCTAAGTAAGCTTTACTCATTGGTTGATTTAGTGAAACAAAATCTTCTCTTAGCCCCGAGTTGTCCTAGTACCTTTACAATTGCAAACAACCGACTGCTTAGAAAGCAATTTGATGACTACGTGTATCAGGATGCTTTTCGGATGTTGGTTATTAATGATTCTTCTCACAGGTAAGTTGACAAAAATTCAACAAGTACGTGAAAGCAAGACTCACAAAATAGTACAAAACGTACAAAATAAGGTTGCTCGTCTAAACAATTGAAAACTCTGTTATTTGCACATCAGAAGACTCTTGTTTGAACTTGTTTATTATGTCTGAAACCGATCATCACCAACTGGCAAGGTAACAGCGCTGTTTTAGGAACCATGGATATAAAGACAAGAGCAATTGAGTATTTTTCTAACAACAATATTTTGAAAGAACTTGAGAATGCTCTACAACTTATGTTCCAGGAAAATACATCAGATCATTCCGGCTATTTAGTAACCACAGTTGACTGACTAACATTTTACAGAGCAAATATTTCGAAAAGATTTCCCTTACTCCGAAAGCTGTCAGCATCAAAGTGGACAGAAACTATTCATATATTGGCACCTTTTCCAGTTCTTTGAGTGTACTTACACTGTGGCGAACAAATATTGAGGTTTTTCCATTATTTTAGTAGTTTAATTTACTGAAGGTTACCACAGGGCTAAACTATGTTTATGGATGCAATTATTGTCTGCCTTATGGAAACATCTTAAATGAATCAACACCCTCTGAATTCTCAGTTTGTATAGAGGCAGTTGTGGATTTACTGGATAATTGCCTATGGTCACCAGCGGAGATGTTTGAAATTGATAAATATATCAGGTAATAACTCTTTTTTGTAGGTTACTTTCCATTTCTTCGAGTGACTTTACGTGTTATACATACTTTCTTATCCTGAGGATACAGCAAGTATTCTCATAGCTACAAATCGTCAAGGGAACAGTTGAATTTGAATGTTTGTAGCAATTGCTACAAATCTCTGTGAACACGAGCATAAATGATTTGTCATAACCTTTGGACAACTGGATTATTCTAGTCTTTCCTCTTTTCTAACACCTAATATTTTAGCCTTTTTAATTGCTTAAGTGTAATCACAAGCACACTTTATATATATGTGTATGCTAGTACATAGGTATCTGTATACTCGTTTGTACCTTTCGTGCTTGTAAATGTTGTCACGTTTTGTTTGAGAACGACTGGTGCATTGACCGATTCCCATCCATCATCTCAAAGTCCGCACGGTCACGTTAGACACTGAAATAAATCCGTCCACTTAATTAGAATTTGGCTTTTTATTACTGCTGTGGTCAAGTGCGTTTACCCTATGCAGAATATACGAAATCAAACGAATAATTTATGTTCATAGCCAGTTCATTCGCTTGTTATAAAGTAACACACAAGCACTAAATGTTTACCATTTTAGCACCTGGTTTCCTATTTAGCATAATCATTTCTGCACTTGATAATATCATTATTTTTGGACATCCAATCATGTCAGACAGTATTTCTTGCCGTACTTTTGGAACGGAGGTAAATATAGTTATATCATACGTCTGTGATGTCACTCCTGATTACAAAATCAGCATTTAGCTAAAGCCCGATTCTAATTCAAAGGGAACTCATCTCAAACAATGTCTAATAATTGTTAAAACCAACTATTCATTCCATTTACGGTACCTTACTACGACTGCAGATAATAGAAAGTGTTGGACAGATGCGTTTAATTCATATTCAACACAATATATTGCCTTAGACCATCATCTTTAATGTAAACCGTAAGTACAACAGCAAGGAACAAGAACCCCTAGTGTTTATACTTTTATACTCTTAAAATGTATTACAAATATTACCAGGACAACGTCTGTTTTTTAGGCTGTCAGCATCAAATGTTAACTAGCGTGTCTATTGGATAGATAAGTAAGGAACATCTTTGTCTGTCGACTTTTTATAAAATGTCTATACTGGGAAATAGTTTTCAATTCCTCAAAAATCAGTTCAGACAATTTTAAATCTAAACCATATAAATATAAGTATTCCTCTTAAATCGTCTTCAGATTATCTTAACTACATGAAAAAATCACTATAGAATGAGAACAAAACCATAGTGGATATGAGTAAATGTGTATTAATATGTGAAATGAAACCTGATAAAGTTTTACTTCGAAAACATTGCGTTTGCATATGTATTTTATCACAAATAAATACTGGTTGAATATGTGACAGTAAAACAATAGACGTTTTTAAAAAAAGCTCTATGTTGATGATGTCTGTCTGTCTTTTATATAAAATGTTATATATACTGCTATTCATTATTCTGACAACAATGTATCGATCTTTTTGTGATTTGATTTTGATACTAGAGAATGATTTCAGGTTTTTGAAGACACTTAGTATCATTACACTCAGCCATTGGACTTTGGTTATCATAAGAAATATGTTAGACGACTGAAGATTAAAATATTTTGATGGCGTATAAATGACATTGTCTTGGAGAAGGAGATTTGTCATTTGCCTTCTACCAAACTATCATTTCATTATTTGTGTGCCAGAAATGACTTAGAATTTAACCAAATGTATATCACACAAAATTGAATTTATTCATTTCTTTTATTTGCATGACTGTTGTACTAAGACGTTTTAATATAATCTTCTACTAATGGTTTCATAAACTTTACAATTTAGAAACTTCTACAATGAATACAGAAAGCAATTGAATAAAATGCAAACGGATGAAAGCGAGAAAGAAATAGAAGTTATTGGTCCAAAAGAAATCCCGTTAAAGTCTACATCAGAACAAAATGCAAAGTAGTTTTGAAAATGGCTGTATTCTCTTCTTTGTTGTTGATGTAATGTTATGTGAATATGAACCTTGGTAAATGAATGAACAAAGTATTAAACCTTATAAACAAAGACGGATAGTGGCTAGCAGTGAAATTCAGGACGCACTTTTCGTCCCATTTGAGACTTTTCAGCTGGATGTACCTGCATCTCACAGTTGATGTTGACTCTGGGACCCGAACTCAGTACTGTTCGCTTCAAACGCCACCACGTTATCCACTTAACTTCTGAGTCCTGATAGCCACTATCCATCTTTGCTTAAAATACTTATGAATTAAGGCAATACCGAGACAATACGCACAATATACACATATGCCGATCAGAAACTGATCGACTGCAGCCCTAAACAACAATGATAAAATTCAAGTAAACAATACCAAGTCAATTTAAAGTATAAAAACTTTCATACATCTTATCTAAATGTGCTAAAATTACTTCACGGACAAAATTCTATGATATAATTCCTAGAGAAGTTTTGTAATGATAAATGAAACCAGATTAGAAATATTGAAGATCAGTTAAAGCATTAGGATACCAGCTAAAATTTACTGTTATGGATATACACCCTCTATCTTCCCTTAAACTATGAGATTGAAATCGCTTCATATCTTACTTTCTACCAACTAATTCGTTCTTCCCGTACTATCTCCTTATATGCAATCTTTCTCTTATATATTACCACCATTGAATCAACTAATTGTATGAATTCGATGTTCATCTTGCTGTGCTAATGCAGTATGGCAACTGGGACCGATGCACATATGTATGCCTGATCCTTCGTTGTAGCTGACGGACTGACTGATATAAAACACTCTGAAACAATTCATTTTATCTAACGGCAGAAAATACTTTTACTCAAAGAATTATACATGTGAATGCAAATAGGAAGTAGAAATCAGATAATGTGTATTCCACAAGTTTTCATTTTATATGATAAACAACTACAATATTTTGGTTTCATGGTGATCACATTCATTTTGGTTAGTAACTGGAAAATTATTTAAACCTTTGTAGAATTAAACTTCATAAAATCAAACATCAGTATGTCGATTGCTTCATGTTTTGTAAGATTCCACAGTTAGATATCCATTAATCATTTCATTATTAAAATATTTTGTGGGGTAAAATGATATGTAATATTTGGGTGGCCCCCTATCGCCCTGGTACGGCTGAGGGTGGAGAGAGTCTGCTCTCCTTCTCCAATTGCTCTCACATGGCCCCATGTATATACAACCACTGCTAGGGATGTCCTACCCACTGCTTTCTCGTGGCATCACTGTTATTTACGAAATTGAGAGGATGAAAAGCGAATATCCGGCGCTTTAACCTGGTTGGTAGATATGGAGAATCCAACTAGGGGAGTTAGAAAACCCTAATTCCAAACCAATGATGTACATGAACTCCAGTATCCTGTGGGAACAAATGGCGTATGAACCAATTACTGGTCACCGGCTACCATGTGACCGCATCTTTTGACGTTGCTCCACTGCATCGTGGATCAGACCTTTATGTCGAAGGCTCCAGGTGTGGCCCCTTAAGAATACCATCTGCTTCTTTTTGTGCACCTGGGCAGTATCACAGTCCTCACACACGTCAAATGAGATTTGTGTGGCGCATATGTATCTGGTGCCCCCTTGTACCAATATTCATGTGTTCAAAAAAATAAATAAAATTAACCAACTTATAATTACTATAAATGCTACTTAATTACTATAATGAGTAGTATAATACAAAATTTGAAAAAAATCGAGGTCAATTTACGGACGATCTTTAGAGGAATCTTAAGTGACCTTGAGAAATATTAGCCAGTCAGAAGACAGTGAAAGTATATTATACCAAACCAAAGGAATAAAGTGGGTACACTTCTCGTAAATGGTTTAAAAACTTGTCAAGGTTTGATGGAGGTTTTGAGGTTTTAAAATCATAATACATACGGTAGAGGAAACCATCTATATGGCTCAATAATAATCGGCCTCTGAAGCCATGATAAGGTCGTAAAAACTCTTTCAGCCTCGATTACATCGCTTCAGTATTGTTTGTGTGCACTCCATGTATCGGGACCATGAAGTGCCGCTTGTGATAACGACATGATGCACATAATCGAGTCTATGTAGGTGTCTGTGCGCTCTCTAATCAATCGTATATAATGTAGTGAGAGACTGCAGCCAGTGTTACTGGTGCTTTTGTTATCCAGTTCACAACAATTGTCATAATTTGCCTTAGTCTTAATCTGGATCGAGTGAAAAAGTTCCTATTCTAGTAGGCTTCTTCCTCCAACACATATTCCATCGAAAGACAACATCATCACGGTAGTCTGCAGAATGTCCACAAGTCATTCGATTATCACAATTACAAATAGAGGAATTTCTTAGTAGTCCCATTTGGTTGTAGTCGCTCAATTATCTCTTTTGTTCTACAATCCTCCGTGTACCGATCGTACGTGAGGATCAAGTACTGAAATTGGCGCTACGACTTTGAAACCCCTCAAACGTTTTTGATTGGCTCATCCATAATATTATAGTCTTACCAAAATTTGTTTACATAGTGATTAAACAAGTTTTTTAAAACGATTACAATAATCTAACTAAATCTTGTTTTCAAACTATACAAACATGTTTTACAGATTATCAAGTAAGGTTTGTTTTTTCTTCTTCTTTAAATGGTTTATTTTGATGTAGAAAAAAATCTACTAAAGATATAATTACACTTCTTCCAAATCAAATAATCTCAATTGCACCATTCATTGCAACAGATCTAACTTGGTTATCAATTAGTTTACATTTAACAGCAATGAAGTGTTCTAGACCGAAGATCAATTTTCAATGGTATATGAAATCACTTTATGATGAGGTAAATAGAAAATTTTGAAATAGTGAAGTTCATGAATCAATTGAAGTTCGAACATCATGGAAAACCTGAAGGTACTAGATGGTCGTTTCGTTCTATTATGGTATTCCTCAGGAGTGTATATCCATGATCCCGCCTCGTAGGATTCGAACCCAAGACCTACCGGTCTTGCACGAGAACGCTTAACATCTAAACCATTGGGTTAGTTGAAGTTAGACAATAAAACCGTTGGATTCCGGTTCAGTAGTCTAGAAGTTAGGTGTTCACATGCGATACCGAGCGTCCTGAGTTCGAGTCTACTTTGTGTAAAGTCATGGGTGTTGAGGAATCCCGTTACAAGATACAACGGCCATGTAGTGCTTCCGTGTTTTCCATAGTGGTCTTGCTTCAGTTTACCCATGAGCTCAACCATTAAATTACTATTATTGTTTATAAAAATTTGATTTAATCGTTTGTTGATCAACTTTGATCAGTCTTTGATGACATACATGTATCCTGTACTGCTTATCCTGATATAGCCGATTGTCTGACAAGTTTTTAGAATAGGTTTTTCAAACATATCGTTTGAAAAATTTTCTTAACTGTTTGAACTCAGTAGCTGAATGGATAATAACCTGTTGATGTTTCATACGAAAGGTATTGGGATTGAGTTCCATTGTGAACATGATTATTGAGATCCGTAGGTTTCCAACCTGAGTCTATTGGACTCTATAACAGCATAAGTGTCAGGATAAGTGATTCTTGAAGCCTTTTTGTCAGTTGACTTGTAGACGGCCTCTTTATTCCATTCTTTATCGAATCAGCAAGCAAAGATGACATAATTGAATATGAAAACTAACTATTAAAAACTAAACTTATGAAATTACAATGTGTGATTTTGATACTAACTAAAATACCAAAATAATCGAGCTGTATTTTGAATGTAGCACAAATGATAAGCGAAAAGTTAGTCAATAAAAAAATATTCCTAGATATTGCTTCGGTCTTTTAGAAAAAGACATTTCCATCCAACTAATTGTGAGGATAGCCCATGGATTAGCCGAAGATATTCCATCCAATTATCTTTTAGAAGAATATTCCGGAATCCTTACGTGTAGCTTACCTATTGGATAAATGCTAAAAAACCCTGTATGCGGATTGAAGGACTATAATGATGATTTCGTTTTTAGTAAAAAACTATAAATACCTGACTTTTTGTACCATATTTGACATTATTTTGGAATGGCATTCCTTTTACTAGTCTTCTATGTTCTCATTTGTGACTTGAAGGGTCCTAGCGTTCGAGTGCTCTTGTTGTACGCAGTATAATAAAAGGCTAAGTTCTAGATATAACCGATTGTGGGACTCCTCAGCAGTGAGCATCCACGATCCCGTATCGCGCGATTCGAACCGAGGGCCTTCAGTCCCGCGCGTGAACTCCTAACCTCTGGACCATTGAGCAGGCATCCAATGATGTTGATGTCTAAACTCAACCAATCCACGAAATTGCGCGACCACCTTCGATTGTACTAAGGTAGACACCTGTTTCTACCCGACACGGATTAGCTCCACTGGTCACTATACTGCAAACCATTTATTATGAATTGGTCATTTGTTTTCTCTAACAGAAAATATTCACCTGTAGACAAGATACACATCTTGGACTTCACTACTATTCACGATTCAAATGAATTAAACCTTTTACCCAAGTTTTTATTAAGACATTTCTCTTAGGATATACATATGACAATAGAGACAATTTGGAATTTCAATGAATAGAAATTACAAACCCATATTAATTCAGATAGACTCATATAAATTATCGTGGTCCCATGTGGTGAACAAGAACACAAATGGGGACAATCGAATGTATTTGAATATAAAATTATAGAACATCTTAGTCAAATTTGAGAATCACAGTAAATACTTCATTTATAACATGTCAATCAATCGTCTCAGACTTCATCGTCTCTGCATTGCCATACCAATTGCTTTCTGTTCCCATTCTTTCCTACTCGATCTTGTTCAGCTTCTGCTGCCAGACACTTTATTCATGACTAGTGTTATATACTACTTATGTCGATATAAGTAGAACAAACCACACTCGTTCCCCCCTTTAAAGCAGTGCTTCTTGCGGTGGTTTTGCTCACCGTGTCATTTTCTTCTTTTCTACAGTCTGTGTCACACTTTCCATCAAACGTCGAGTCTGTGGTGTTCTGACCTTTAAAGCTCCGTCGACCCACCAGGCCACCTAAACCTAATGTCCACCTGGCACTCAGGAAGTTCAATGCCTGCGCTCCAGCGACCTGTTGAGACATAATCCTGTTCCCAGAGTATGTGGGCGCTACTACATGGTAAAGCAGTCTTAATATCATAGGACTGACTCAAAATATTGTCGGAAATGTTTAATATTGAGAAGTTACAGCATTTTTTAAAATCTCCTAACTATGATATCATTTCTTGTATCCTTCAATATATATGTATCAAGGTGATTAAATCAACGATGCCCGATAACAAGACCAATTCACCAATTCCTGTTAACCAAGTGACATGTCCAATAATTACAATATTGAATTGTCCTGGACGTATTGGTTCAATATTATCAGGAAAATGTAAATTTTTACAAGAAATTCTTCTTATTCCTAAACCATATTTAACACCAAAAGAAGTATGTTTCAAATCATGTCAATAATTTCATGAATGTAATGTCAACAAAGACGGTGGATTTTCGTTTATGACTAACCAATCTTCTCCTTTTTCCTATTCGGTTATCATTGTTAAAAGAATTACTTTTATTAGGCAATGCCAATGTTCAGTTCCCGTTTGATGACGAATATTTTCGACAAGTTGATGGTGTTACTATGGATAGCCCTTTTAGGCCTCTCTTAGCTAATATATTTATGTCATATGTGGAAAATAGGACGATTGAGCTCAACTTTGTATAGAAGATGCAAGGATGATATACTAATTATGTGTGATAAAGATTTTTAGGTTTCTCAGTTATTAGATAAACTCAATGGGGTTCAAAATGATATTGTGATGACTTATGAAGCAGAAAATAATGGCGAATTTCCCTTTTTAGACATACTTTTGAGTCGAAGGGAGGATGGTACTATAAGACGGTCAGTATATAGGAAACCAACTTGAATGAGGCAATACTTAACTTCCAATAGTTTCTGTTCATTGCAATACAAGCGAAGCTTGATTAAGTGTTTCTTTAATAGGACTCAAAGAATTTGCACTCCTGACACAGTTGAAAAAGATGAAAAGTTGCTAACTGACACATTAATATCAAATGGTTATCCATTAAAGTTTGTATATAGGTGCAAAAGTCACTCAACGCCAAGACCTCTTGTTTATTCGGTCCCAAAGAAAAGTTTATATCCATCTACCATATAGAAGTGAATCCAATAGTATAGTTTTAAGACAGAGATTGAAAGCAGCCATCAAGAAAATCTCTTATGCTGCTCAATTGGTTATGATTGGAAAGTCTAAGCCTATGACATAGACAATACACTGTAGTGGTGAATAAATCCCCAAAATCAATATCTCTATAAGTCTTCGATATTGGATGCTGACCACATTAGTTTCAATAGACTCACCTAGCTGAAGGCACTCAGTCATGCATCCGCACTAGATTACGAGTGGGAACGTCGTGCTCAACATCCCGTTCAATCGCTAACCAGTCTAGATAAGTCAATATTCGATATATTGATAACCTATCAAATATATCTTCCAACCTCCTCACTTCTGTCTTTTGATTTCATTTAATGGATACGATTCATATTAGGTGTTACCGGTTAAAGTGTTGTCAAACTCCAAATACCTATGGCATCTTCAACACTAACCATGTTCATCGATAGCGAAACATATATAAAAATTTGAAACGGGGCACAAAATTGTCTTGAATACACCTTCTAAAACGTTGTCAAGGACAAATTTTCAAGTTTATTAAAACCTTGACTACTCGTGAATTTGAACTCCCTCCCTGTGTCATGACCTTGAATGTAAATAATTTAAACAAAAAACCTATGTAATTTTCTTTTTTTTATTGATCTAGTTATTAGATAATCTGTTCATTATTAAAACAAAATTATCACAAACCTTAATGAATAAACCAAATGTAAGTTGACAAATAATAAAATTGGTTTGTTTTACTAATAAGTTAATAGTTAATACCACAATTGATATGTGATAATGGAGCATCAAGTGTTAATATTGATAAACCAGAACAAGCATTTGATTTATTAATAGAATTTCTAGAACAAATTCAATTGAATAATCATTTCTATTTTGGTTTATTCATATCACCAAAAGGAATATTTGATACGGTTAGTTGAATATATATATTTATATTACTTATAAGTAATAAAATTTATGCAAATCTGTATTTATCAGAAAGGGATTTTCTTGTGGAGATTGTAGTAATTTGGATAGTTGATATCATTAGTCCATTAAAGTTAGACAACCATGGAAAACCTAGGAGCACTGGGCGATCGTTTCGTCTTAGTATGGGACTTCTCAGCAGTGCACATCCACGATCCTGCCTCACGAGAATCGGATCCAGAATCTATCAGTCTCGTGCACGAACACTTACGATCTGGACCACTGAGCCGGCAATTAACGGTGTTAATGTCTATCTTAAAACAATCCACGAAGTTGAGTGATGCATCCACAATTGTTTTCAGTGATTTACTATCTCACAACAGACCCGGTTGAACTCCACTGGTCACTGCTTCTCACTAGAACTCCATGAAATACCTCTTGAAGCCAATCACTAGTGAGCATATAATGATTATTATCAGAAGGGGGTTTTGTGTATATTATAGTAATTCTAATAGTTGAGTTCAGTTGAAGCTAGACAACCATGAAAAACCTAGAAGCGTTGAACGGCCGTTTCATCCTAATGTGGAACTCCTCAGAAGTGCGCACACACAATCCCGCCTTGCGACCTATCGGTCTCGCGCTCGAGCGTTTAATTTCTAGAATGCTGAGCAGGTGGTGCAATGTTTGGTCAAAGTTATTGGTTTATTATCATTATTTCTTTCAACTTGGACAACTCTATCTATTATGGTTTTTTAATTTAAGAAAATCTACCACGGAGTTCACCACCCATTTTTCAAAGTAGTGCTGTTTGAATTACAGTCATGATTCTCTAATCCTCTAGTGTTGATCGAATTCCATTGGTCGAGTTGAAGTATTGTCACTAGCTTAAGTAACTCGATATTTATTACACTATCCACAGATTTTAAGTAGTTGGAGAATAGATTGATCGTGGGTCTCGTTCTAATTAGTGGAGTATAGAGTAGTTGTTTATACATTTGGCCCTCAACCAACAGGTCACATGTTCTTACACCCCTTTAACTACTTTGGTTAACATTTTGCTAGTTTTCACACAAAAATTGTAGTTCAAAAGTGAACACATAGCCTGGTAGTTAGTAAAAGCGTCAAATTACCAAACTTTTCGGGTTACAAATAACCCTCATGGTCTCTATCCATTCAAAAACAAGCTGAAGTTTAGATAACAGTATAATTTTAGTTAAAATGGCTAGTAGCATAGCTTTTGGTCCTAAAATACACGAAGCAACCTTATATTACTCAGTTTGAACATAGAAAGCGTACATTTACTTAAGCTTGCAGTTTTATCGTGATGAATGTATACGATAAGTATGTACAGGCCTTTTATGAACTAGTGTAATGTAAGGCAATTGTGTGATATCCAGTTGTTGAATTCATCATGTACTTATTAATGGAAGGCTTCAAGATATTTTTTCTCGAGTTCTAGCAAGAAGCGACAAACATTGGAGCCCAATCCCTGTCGGATAGAGACAGTTATCTACCTCATACAATGGATGAATGGTTGCACGAGATCATAGATCGATTGAAGATAGACATTAACACCGTTTGATACCGGATCAGTAATTTAGAATTTAGGTGTTCGCATGCAAGACAAAAGGTCTTGTATACGGGATCAGCACACAAAATCCATAGGTATCAACAATAATAACATTTAAAATGAGATCAATCTATACACAAAACAGCTAATGATCAAATCTGTTATTCAAAAATAGTTGAAATTCACTTGGTATTGTTTGCTTGTATCTTCCTATTGTTGTTTAGAACTGCAACTGATCAGTCACTGATTGCCATATATTCCTCCTGTGAGGATTGCCTCGATAATCCTATTTATTCACAAGCATTCTAAACAAAGATGGATGATGGTCACCAGTGGAATCCAGGACACGTGTTTCGTCCTATTTAGAACTCGTCAGCTAGATGTACCTGCTGATATATCTGAGCTCGGAATATAACTTTCATACTAGAACTAAATGGTCACCCATTGCTTTGAGGTTTTCCAAACTGACCCAACACTGATAATTTTGTCGTGTCAATCCGACTGAACTCTATACTGATAATATATATATCTCTCAAAAAATAATCGATTTATTTTGTGGTAGTGAAACTAAAATATGATTGGTTAATGAATGTGGACAGACAGGCACTTAGCCTACTGACTAATCAATATGTGATTTCCTTTCTTGTCATTGATTTATTACTCTGAATTCACCGAGGTTGATTGATGATTGATTGTGATTGTATTGAATTAAGTATTATCTATTCTTGCCTTCAAATGCTTTAGTACGGTCGAAGGTGAAGAGAGTCAGCTCTCGATCTCAAAATACTCTCACATGACCACATGTGTATACAGTCAATGCTAGGGAAGTCCTATTCACTGCCTTCTTGCGGTAAGGGTGTTGTTTGAGAAATTGAGAGGACGAAAAGCGAATGTCCACCGCTTCAACCATGCCTGTAGATATGTAGGATGCAGTTAGAGGAGTTGGAAAAGCCTCATTCCAAACCAATAGTGTACATAACCTCCACGATCCTGAAGGAACTAATAGCGTATGAACCAATTACTGATCACCGACTACCATGTGACTGCATCTCTTGACATTGCTCCACACTACCTTGACAATTACACCTTTAGGCCAAAGGTTCAGGGTTCCCTAAGAAAAAACCATCTGTTTCGGTTTGAACACCCGGGCAGTATCATAGTCGACACCTAAATCAACTGAGTTTTATGGCGCATATATATTCAGTGCCCTTTCGTACCAATATTGATGTGTTCAAACAGATAATGACATTTCTATTCTGGGTCGTTAATCCTGGATCTAATTCAATCTGACTAGTTTTATCATTGCAATATACCAAAGAAAGAAAGAGAGAATACTATTGTGAAACCATCTTTTATACCATAATTTATTCTTTATTTTATTGAATAGATAAAAGAACGTTATGAGATTATCACGGGAAATTTGAAAACACCAGAAGAATTGGTTAATTATTATATAGATTTAATTGGTAGATATCCACAAATACGTTTATTAATTGATCCATTTAGAGTAGAAGTAAGTCATGATAAATACAATTTGGAAATAATCTTGATTCTATATATGAACATTAATAAGTGATTAATTAAGAAATACTTAGTATAGTTGTTTTTGTTCTCGTTTAAAACACTTTATCCATCTTGATTATGATTATGAATACATTGGTCTTGAGTGCTCTAGAGTTATGAGGCGGTTATCACTTCCCGGTTGCCCACAACGTGGAAGGGTTCTTCTGGAGGTAACTGAAAAGAAATTGAATTAAGGTGGTCTTAGTGACCTGAGAGCGTGATCACAGTGCCCAAGCGACAAATGCTTAAGGTCGGTCACACACGACGTTTTTGTGAGTAATTTTTGTGTTAGCTCCGTACTTGTTGAGACCTTACCACTGGAGACAGATATTCGTTGGATAAGGTGAGGTGTGCATTTTTAGGGTCGACATTTTCTAACCCCACCCACCCCTCCTTGTGGGAAGGCATCATCGCTATCATGCTGGTTGTCTGAAGGAAGCACCTTACTGTTGTCACACCTCTGTACAGTCAGCATTACAACTTCACCTTAAGACCTTAGGTTTTTGCTTTTAGTCTTACCGCTCTTCAACTGACCTGTCTGGCATGGTAGGACCTTGAGGAATGATTGTTCTAGTCAGTATAGCTCGGTTCCTTCATCACAATAGGCAAGCACAACCAACAAGTCAAGGTAGCAACAACGGCCGAGCCTTATCAATCTATAATACTAGTATGGTATATGCTACTTATAAAGATAGACAACTCAAAGATGTTATGCAAATAGTCCATCTAATTCATTGTTTTCATAGTTTACAAATACAGTATGATTTATGTCGACAGATATAAGTAGTACATATTACTATTTAGAAATGTAATGGCTATTTTAACAGAAAGTTGAGAAAATTAGATTGAAGTGAACGGGAACAGAAACCAGTTGTATTGTAGTGAACAGAACACGGGTGGAGACAACCGAATGTATCTTACACAAAATTACAGAGTTACTTGATAGAATAGAAAAACCAAATAGTAAATCGCTAATTTGCAAAATATCATTCTATCATATCAAACCGAACTGTTGCCGTTGCCAACATCAATTCATTGTCTCACATTTCATTGTTCATGTGGTTTCTTACAAATTCCATTGTGTTCTCGCTCTTCCTTTCTTGATCTTCCCCATCTTCTGTTGCCAGATATTACGTTCTTTAACTCGAGTTATATACTTCCTAAATCAATATAAGTAGCACGCACCACACTCGTCCTCCCCCCCCTTTAAAGCAGTCGTTCTTGCGGTGGTTCATGCTCGCCGTGCAACATTCTTTGTCGCTGCAATCTGTGCCACACTCTCCATCAAAATGTCGAGTCTGCGGTGCGCTGACCTCCATAGCTCTGTCGACCTTCCGAGGCAACAACAGTATTAACAGTTGAAGGAATGATAATCTTTAGGACAATTGATGAAGGATTTGCAAATGAAGTACTAAATGTATAACTTTCATATTTCTTTATAGAACTTCTTAATTTTAAATCAAATAATGAATTGATTGCCTTCACCCAATGTTCTCATTCACATTACAATCACATTGGTAATTAATGTCCATAATTGTACGCTATTCTTCGTACAGGTATGATTTACTTACAAGTCGATTAAATCTATAAATTAGGGAAATTTATAATAGGATGATGGAGAAATTCGAATGCTTCACTTCTATTTGAAGTTTGTACTGATGATATTCGTTCAGAAGAACAATGAAAGCTACACAATCAAACCATCCAGTTCAGAGAAGAAAACTCCACTTAAAATTTGCACTAAATTCTTACAACATATATCTCAAATTGATATTATATTGAACATTTGTCTCAAATTTCATTGTTCTTGTTTTCTCTTCTTCAATTTTCTTAACCTTTTACTACTAGGCATTTCATATTCAATTGATGACATATACTACTTATATCTGTTGACATCAGTAGTGTATACCACAATTACTGTTTATGAGTATTTATTATTTATATATCTGGTAATGAAACTTGTTTAATAATCAGTAAGCTTGTGCAATACATATAAAGATCCAATCTATAAAACCAGATATATTTCATCGTTAATGAATCAAAAGATGGTGCTGTTTAGCAAGAATTTAATCCGTTGAACGCCGTCTCAGTGGTCTAGTAATTAAGTGCTCGCGCGCGAAGCCAGTAGATCCTGGGTTCGAATCTCACAGGGGGCGAGGTCATGGATGCGCACTGCCGAGGAGTCCCATAATAGGACGAAGCGGCCGTCCAGTGCTTCCAGGTTTCCCATGGTGGTCTAGCTTTAAATGACTCATGATCTGAACCATTGAAATTACTACCATCTCCACAAAACCTATCTGATAAAAATTTAATCAATAATAAGGTTTCATCAATTTGAACCGTGTGAAACATTCAACCCTATTTGTTTCAGTGTAAAAAGCACAATTAACCAACAAATATATCAATAGTTGAGATCATGAATCGATTGAAGCTAGACTATCATGGAAAAACTGGAACAACTAGAAAGCTGTTTCTTCCTATTGTAGGACTCGTCAGCAGTGTGTTGAGAATTCCATATTTTACCAAAAATATATTGTTGAATAAAGCAACAATACTAATAATGATAATAATAATAATCACTAATTAAATATCAAATATTATAGTTGCATCTGATGTCCCACAATAAGACGAAACGGTCATCTGTTGCTTCCAGGTTTTCAATGGTTGTCTAGCTTGAATTGACTAATGATCTCAACCATTGATATTTGTTGGGGAGATCCAGAAAACTACTCGAAAACAAAAAGCCAATAGAAGGCTTTGAAAACACTAAGAAGCATCTTATCCAATCAGCATTCAATAGAAGTTTTACCAGAAACATCTAGAAAGTGAAAAGCCACATATCGAGTTTCTAATTAGATGATTACTTATACTTCACTACTATGTTTAGTAGTATTTCAGAATTTTCTAGAAACCTAAGGCCATCTTAAATATTATGAAAACACTAGATCTTCCGTACATAAACTTACCTTTTGATTAAAGCGTTTCTTCCATATTTCGCACCTTTTCTCTCATGTTCATGTTGCTGTGAAGATTTAGCCTGTGGGAGGGGTTACTAGAAAAAACTTAGGAACTGTATCTAACGTTCACTTAGAAGACTTATCAGAGTCAAACAGAAGTGTGTAAGGACAGAGAGAGAGAGAGTAAAACAGACTTACATAATACTTAATGTATGGTATTATTTTTGTTACTATGAGCTTCTTTATTTATTTAGGATAAAGAATATTGGGAATTATTAAAAACACGTATTACATCATCAATATTGATTACAACAAGTACAATAATTCAACCAGCTATGAAAGAAATAACACTTAATCGATCTAATTCAATGATTACAAAAAATCTTAAAACAATAACAACATTATCATCATTTGATGAACCATTAAAATTTAGTATTCCAACTGGTTTAACTATTTATGATTTAGTGAATAGTTGCCAAGGCAACAAAATTCATCATCATAAGGATGATGTAAATCATGTTGACATAGATACTACTACTACTACTACTAATAATAATAATAATAATATAAAACAAATACCGAATGGTGCACTACAATCTACATCATTATGTAATACAGTTGATAAACAGGATATGTGTTACTCATCTTGGTTATTCACTATGGATCCATGTTTAGATTGTGTTTTAATAACAGAAATTATTCAAGCAATTCATATATTACATTGTAAGTAATAAGTATATATATATATAAGTTGTATATTCATTTATATTTGTTACTTGAATCTTTTCATTGATGTTTAGGATCGAAATTGATCAGTCTCTTATTGGTAGATTCTGTGGATTCTGTGTGAGGGCTGGGATACTGTCTAGGTGTCCAAACCAAAGCCGGAGGTTTGTTTAGGGAGCCACACATCGAGCTTTTGGCCTAAAGGTCTAATCGACAAGGTAGTGGAGCATGTCAAGAGATGCAGTCACATGGTAGTGGGTGACAAATAATTGGTTCATGCGTCATTAGTTCCTTCAGGATCATGGAGTCCATGTACACTATTGGTTTGGAATGAGGGTTTTTAAAATCCTCTAGGTGGATCCTCCGTATCCACCAACATTGCTTTAGATCACAGGCAATATAAGCAGGTGTATATATATTGTTCATATAAATTACGAAATATGAAAGAATGAAACTAATGTGAATAGATTTACTAATCGATATCAAGTGTCAGAGATACCATCAGAATACTTATTCTGATCTTGTCTATTCCTTGTCTACCATTTCTTCTATGGTCTGTTGTCTCAAACCTGACCCATTATACTCTTGACCAGCACCGTCGACCTTGAATCAACTCACTTAAACTCCTATCCCATCACCTTTCTTTATGCCTTTCCTTGGGCTTCGAAAAGTCAGTAACTAGTTTCTATCATTTCTATATTCCAAATAGACAACTATGTACAAACAAGCGAAACATATCTGTGAATATCAACATTTGAGATCATGAGTCAATTGAAGCTAGACCACTATGGATTCGAACCCAGGATCTATCAGTTTCGTACCAGGCGCTTAACCAACTAGACCACTGAGCCGGCATCCAACGGTGTTAATGTCTAACTTCAACTTATCCTGGGTTCGAATCCCGCGAGACGGGGTCGTGGATGCGCACTGCTGAAGAATCCCACCATAGGACAAAACGGCCGTCCAGTGCTTCCAGGTTTTCCATGGTGGTCTAGCTTCAATTGACTCATGATCTCAACTGTTGAAATTACTACAATCTCCACTAAACCTCTTCTGATACATATCTGTGAATAGTTGATTGACAATTAAATAGTTATAATAAGTAGTATAATAGTAGTGAATCGATTAAACGGAAGCCTATGATTAACACGATATTTATGCTTAATAATCTAGTTACTTTATAAATATGCAATAAGAATGTATTTAGTAATAGCTTGATAAATGGTTCGAATAGTTCCAGCTTTTACAATATTCGTCCAGTAATAACGTAAAAAAAACACGTTTTGATTGTCAATTAAATCTGGAAAACGATATCTTACCCTTGGCAATTGTTTGTATCTTCCCATTGAGGTTTAAGACTGTAATTGGGAAGATACAAACCAAACAATTACCAAGTAAATTTAAATTCACCCCATTGCACAAGCAAGTGGCTATCAGGACTCAGTAGCTGAGTAGATAACGCGATGGCGTTTGAAGTGAATGGTACTGGGTTCGAGTCTCAGAGTGAACATCAACTCTGAGATGCAGGTACATCCAGCTGACGAGTCCCAAATAGAACGAAACGCGCGTCCTGGATTCCACTGCTAGCCACTATTCATCATTGCTTACAGAGATCTTACTGTTGTTCTGTAATTTAGTAAACGGTAGACTTTGATTACATGTCAGTCATTTGGACATTAATATCAATTTTCCTTTATTTTACATTAATATGTATCTATGTAACTAACTAACTAACTAACTAATTCACGTTATTGTTATTTTAACGAATGAAAACTATCAACTATCATTAAAAGTACAAAATCGGCAAGTGATATTCAGTTTGGATAATCTACAAGTGATTGAAGATTGGCCAATGGATATGGTGAGTAGTCAGTATTTTCTTGTTTAAAAATGTTAGTTTAATGCAACACACAAGTATCTTATTACGACTGTGAACCAATTTAAGTTAGATAACCATTGGATGCTTGTTAGCACTGGACAGCTGTTTTTATTTTCTAGACTAGAGCTCCCCATCAATGCATATTCATGATCTTTGAGTCAAGAATCGAATTCGGGACCTCAGTTCTCGTCATCAAACTTTTAACACTGAGTTTATTGATCCGAGATCCAATGGTGTACAGTGAGTTTGGGATATTGGATGACCAGTTTATAATTATCTTCAATGGGTAACTTCCACCCACATGACACGATTGAAATCTAGTAGTACCGAGTCAGTGGTCGGTAAGTTAGTCGTTTACGCATGAGACCAAAAGTCTTACGTTCGATCTTTCGATGGCTAGGATTTGTGTGCACAATTGAGTCATCTCATACTATGATAAAACACTGCCAATTAGTGCTTACAAGTCTCGAATGGTTTTCTAACTTCGATCAGTTCTTAATCTTAATAAAACTAAACAGTCTTTATAACGTCGTTTTGACATTTTCAAAAAAATAAATGGAAGTGTAGTAACAAGACTAGGAGTTTGCGTTTTCGAATCAGAAATGGTAGGAAAGTTCAAAGGAATTCTAATGAAAGCTGTTCATTATTCATCTGATTATAGTCAGCATAGAGTCTGGTTGAAAAGTGAATTAATTCAAATCTTCACACCGAATCAAAACAATGAGATATAATTAAGAAATTAATAGTGAGGAAGTAGATATAGTTGTGAAGACGCGGATCGGTAAAGAAAGAGCAGCATATTTACTAACGAAGAACATCTGGAACTCAAAACAACTCTCAACCAACAACAAGGTCAGAATTTTCAATATAAACGTGAATACAGTTCTACTGTATGGAGCGGAAACCTGCAGAACTACCGAAGCCATCATCCAGAACATACAAGCGTTTATTAACTGCTGTCTATGCAAAATTCCTAGGTTCCGTTGGCCAGACACTATCAGCAACAACCTACTATGGGAGAGAAAAAACCAAATTCCAGTGGAGGAAGAAATCAGGAAGAAGCGCTAGAAGTGCATAGGACACTCGTTGAAGAAAGCACCCAACTGCATCACAAGGCAAGCACTCACATGGAATCCTCAAGGCCAATGAAAAAGAGGAAGACCAAACAACACATTACACCGAGAAATGAAGACAGACATGAGATGAATGAAAAAAATAGGATAGGACTAGAAAGGAAGGCCGAGGACAGAGAACAAAAATCCATCAAAAATAGGTTGGAGAATACTGGTCGGTGGCCTATGTTCCGTTGGGAGTAACAGGCGTAAGTAAGTAAGATATAGTTGTAGTAGCAGTGATAGTGAGAAAGACTAAACGTCGATAATATGATTCAAAAAGTAAGAAAAGTGTATGAAAGTGGTGGAAATTTAAATCTATAGGAAGGTTTAAGAATGAATGTAGCTACACCACCATGATCGGTTCTAAGCCACGTCATACATTATCTTTAGACACTCATCAAGGTTCACACACAGAGTTCGATCTTGGAGTTCGCATGTACTAGGAATATTTTACCTTCACTTAGCATTCCATCACAAAATTCGCATTTCACGTACCTAAATTAATGGTTGCTCTGGCTGTCAGAAAGAGCACCAGCCTCGTAACTTCCGAAGGAGCTCAAATTTCACCATGAGGCTTCATAACTCTTCTAAATGAAAACCTTCTAACTCCCAGGTCAGAGTTTAAATAGTTTGAATTATTTTTTTTTGTGGCTAGCGTTTTTTTAGCGAGTTGGTTCTCTACAGGATGGGTTCGCTAACCCCGTGTTCAACCCTCCTTCTTTATCCACGTTTGAGACAGACATTAGCCTCAGAGGGGTTCCGGTTGGTAACCTGATGGGTTCATTACTAGACAAGGAACTAAGAACAGTTCATATAAATGAGATTTCTAACTACTATTTTTAAACAATCTCTATTAGAAAGGAATGTGTATTATTTAAAGTTTACTTGGAATAACGATTAGTGAATTGTAAATAACGTAGAATTTGCCAAATTTGTACAGTGTTCCATATCATCAAGTCATATCAAAGTGGTTAGATGCCAAAATTGTGGAATCAGTAACTGTGTATTAATTATAGTATAGAAAAAAATAACACCATAAAGAGTGTTATCAGAAGGGGTTTGTGGAGATTTTAGAAATTTCACAGATGAAAATCATGAGTCGATTGAAGCTAGATCACCATGGAAAACCTGAGAGCACTGGACGACCGTGCACGACTGTGCACTGCTCAGGAGTCCCGTGCTAGTACGAAACGGCCGTCCAGTGCTTCCAGGTTTTCTATGGTGGTCTAGCTTCAATTGACTCATGATTTCAATCTGTGAAACCATAAAGCATAGGCAGAATAAAAATATTTTGCTGCACAAACTAATGTAAGGCCAAATAGAAAGTGAATGTAATCACGCTGTTGAAACTGTTTCTCAGTTTTGTCACTAAACATTTCTAGTCATTAGTTATAGTAACAGTATAGGACTCATACTACGTAATCTATATTTATCAATGCAGGTCAATCAATCTAATAATCAATGATGGATGGATGGTGGCTGCCATTCGAATCTAAGAAGCATGTTACATCCTATTTGGAACTCATCAGCTAGATGTACTTGAATTAATGATCACTGCGAGACTCGAACCCAGAACCGTTCACATGATACATCCTATTTGGGATTCATCAACTGGATGTACCTGCATCTCATAGTTAATGTTCACTCAGGGACTCGAACCTAGCACTGTTCTGGGATTCATCAACTTGATGTACTTGCATCTCACAGTTGATGTTCACTCATGGACTCGAACCCAGAACCGTTCACTTTAAAACGTCATCTTTACTTGGAGGGTTAGGATCTAAGGCACTATCGAGGCATTGTACATATACCAATAAGAGACTGATTAATTACAGTTTTATGTATAAGTTTTTTTTCTTCTCATTTTATCCTATTCACATGTTTCATTATAAGTTCCCCTTTCTTTTGATTGGTTGGTTGATTTATCATTTAGGCAATTGGTTTAGGTATAGATTTTATCAAAATTACTGGATTGAATAGAATAGATCAAATGAATAAATTGATAACATGGTATCATTACTATCAAGATATAATTGATCATTTAAAGGATTCAATCAATGAATGGAAGTTGTATGATTCTTCACTAATGGAAAATTCTTTCAATGTATGAATGGATTAGTTAAGTCATTCATAATATTACCATATACATATCATAATGATAATTTTTTTTGTTATAAAAGATAATGTATAATGATAATGAACTGTCTTTTCTAAATACTACCATTCAATCAGTTATCATGAACACTGGGTGTAACCACCACCCAGTATGTCAGATGCTCCTTAATGCAAATCGAATACTATCGGCCAAGTTACAATGTGAGCCAGTAGTTTAGATAACTCTACATTGCGTAAACTACGTTGAGATAAGATGGTGGTTGAAGGTAGTCAACCGGAAACCCTGGACCTAGGTTTTATGCTACTTATTACACGCCAGTAAGGTGTACATGTGTTCTCGAGAGAACTGGTGCCATATTGCTACCTTGATGTGGTGGTTGAGATTGCCTATCGTGATGAAGCAACCGAGCTAAACTGACTGGAACAACCGTTCCTCAAGGTCCTACTATACCAGATAGGTCGGTTGAATAGCAGTAAGACTAAATGCAACAAACCCAAGGTCCTAAGGCGAAGTTGTGATGCTCATTGTACAGAGGTGTGATGGCAGTAAGGTGTTTCCTTCAGACAACCAGTATGACAGAGATGCTGCCTTTTCGCAAGGAGGGGTGGGGTTAGAAAAGGTCGACCATAAAAATGCACACTTAACCTTATCCGACGAATAGCTGTCTCCGGTGGTAAGGTCTCAACAAGTACGGAGCTAACACGAAAATTACTCACAAAAACATCGTGTGTGACCAACCTCAAGCAGTTGTCGCTTGGGCACTGTGATCACGCTCTCAGGTCACTAAGACCACCTCTAATGCAATTTCTTTTTCAGTTACCTCCAGAAGAACCCTTCCACGATGTGGGCAACCGGGAAATGATAACCTCCTTCATACCTATAACAGCACTAAGAAGGACCTGACATCGATCACCACCCAGTGATTAATCAGTTGTGAATACATCACAGTCCTACAGGAGGTCAGTCCCGGCCCGGATAGCTCAGAGATAACATCAATGACTGTGAAACTGTATGACACGAGGTCGATTCCGTCAGGGTGATTTTTTGTGAGACCTCGTTGTATGTGTTTTGATAGATTTGGATAATGTGATATGAGATAATAGGTTTAGAAAGATTTGTATGTTAGTTAATAATGTGAGATGTGGATAGAATTAATTGTGTGGATCGTTAGGCCTTTTTTTAATTAAATGCAGTAAGGTTTAAGAATGGATGAACAGGTTCAGCAGCTCATGTTTCTTTATTATTTGAAAAGCTTATCTAAATTGGACAGTTATAAAAAATAATCATGTACTCCTATCGCCGGTCATATTTGGAGTCTTTTAAGTTCTTAAGGATTAATTAGTGGTATTTTAGTGCAGCTTAGATATTCTTTGTCACGAGTTATGGTTTCATGAAAAGACTCTTCATTATGGAATGGATTATGATCTACACATTTTAGTCTGTAGACATAATTCTGTGCCAAAACAAAAAGGATATTATCTTTCATTTGAATCAAAGTATTATGAAGAGTGTTTGTTTTTATAGAGTGCTTTAATTCTGTCTGATTTAAACATATGTCGTGGTTCTTATATTATGCCATATGGGTGTGGTAATGTGGTGTATGCTACTTATGTCTGACAACATAAGTAATACGTAACGCCAGTTGGAAGAAAAAACCCTGGTAGCAGAATGCGCAATGCTAACCTGTGTGAGGGATGGTTAGAGGGAAATTAGGGGCGACCAAACTAAAACGTGGCATCAGCACTTAAAGTTACTAACTTCTGGTCTGAGACATGTTGGTAGATGCAGACTACTTGGTTGGGGTCCGCGTAACAATCGTAACTAATGATTGGAGACTCTTGGTGACATGGCTGAGAATCGATCACAATGGCGTCGGCGTATACACTCTTGTCTTTCTTTAGGCCGGGAGATTAAAATCGTATCATATCTTTCTTTCTACGAACTAATTCTTTCTTCCTGTACTATATCTTTATATGCGATCTTTCTTTTATATATTACACCATCGAGTTAACTGCTCCTATGAATCCAGTGTTCATCGTGTTGTGCTAATGAGGTATGGCAACTTGGACTGATGCATATATGTGCCTTGTCTTAAGCTGTAGCTGACTGACTGACTGAGGAACATCGAGTTGAAGAGAATAGAAACGTAGATAGAAAGGAATTGTGAACTGGACGAATCATACAGAATGTGAAGGACAAATAATGGGAATTCGCAAATAAAATATTCAATCTACGGTTCTCAAATTTTAAAAAGAGATTCCGTGATTTAGTATCTGAATACAATCGGTTGTCCCAACATTCACAACAGTAGAATCAAAGTACTAAGGCATGATATTGCATTCAGAATTCAAAAGGGCATTTTGTTTTAGCATATTCTTAAAAGTATCTGTCGGGAAGCTATCTTCATCTGACATAATGATCTTTATGACTAGTCTGAACAGATCTGTAACCTAAGATGCTTTTGCATCGAGTACTTGTGCTGTGTTGAAATCAATTTAATGATTTGAATGTGTTGATTTCTTGTAGGCAGTATGGTTTACACTTCCATTTGTCTTTCTTTTCATTAGTCATCAGTCTAAAAATGTTAGTTCACTGAACTGATCTTCAAAAGCGAATACGATATGAACTGAGAAAGTTTTTATTTTAGTAATTTAATGGTTGATTTCGTGATTCAGTTAAAGCTAGACCACCATGGAAAACCTGGAAGCACTGTACAACTGTTTCGCTCCAATATGGAACTCCTCAGCAGTGCGCGTCCACGATCCCGCATCGCGAGATTCGAACTTATCAGTCTCGTGTGCGAACACTTAACCTTTAAACCACTGACCACAAAATGAAGCCACCGTCCACCATTATCTTCAGTCAGTTACTATCTCAAACCAGACCCGGTTGGACTTCACTGGTCACGGCATCTCACTAGAACTCCAGGAAACACCTCTTGTGAGACAGTAACTGACTGATCACAATGATAGGCGGTGGCACAATTTCGTGGATTGATTGAAGTTAGATATTAACATCGTTGGACGCCGGCTCAATGGTTTAGACGTTAAGCGTTCGCGCGCGAGACCGATAGGTCCTGCATTGGAACCTCGAGAGGCAGGACCGTGGGCGCGCACTACTGAGGAATCCCACCATAGGATGAAACGGCTGTCCAGTAATTCCAGGTTTTCCATGGTGATCTAACTTCAATTGACTCATGATCTCAACTGTTGAAATAATAACGTTTTTATTAATTAGAAGAACAAAATGAGATAAAATTCCAATAGATCTAACAATAGGACAACAAACAGATCAAACATATCGATTTAAATTGTAAATACGGCAACAATAATGATGCCATCCGAATAATGTGATTAGCAAAGATGAAATTTAATACACTAGGTAAACAACATACTAAGATTTTCTACTTAGCTAAATAGAAATGTGAGCTGACTAAATGTAAGTATCCATATGAGGCTTTTTGAAAATTATAGAAATTTCAAAGATTTGATATCACGAACTGATCTTAGTTAAATCACTTGGAATCACTGAACAGCTGTTCCACCCAAGTATATGACTTCTTAGCAGTGAGCATCCACGACTCGGATGAAGAGTTCAATATTAGAATGCAATGGTTGTTCAATTCCTGCAACAGTGATCTAACTCATATCAGTTCGTCATTTGAATTCTATCGAGGAAAATATAACTGGATTATTTATTTGACTTGTGTAACATTCGACATAGTTATTGCGTAATTCATTCTAATTACATATGAACTATGCTCATTTGATGAAAATCAACAGTTTCATATGTCGTTGGTTTTACACCTTCTTTATAGTTGATTTGATCAAGTGTTGAATCAACGCATTCAACAAGGTACTCGAGGGTAAACTACACTTTAAGTATGAAGGCTAATGATACTATGTGATTGCACAAATAAAATTAGGTGAAACAAGGGTTATGATTAAATTAGACTGAGTTTTCGAGTAGAATCTTTTTAAACTGTTAACATTCTAACAGTAAACCCTCAGACTATGTTAAGTAAGAAATATGAACCTCATTATAACTTTTCACATCCAGATGTCTGGTTAGTGTTTTCTTTTAGCGAGTTAGTTTTCTACTGGATGGGGTCGCTAACCCCATGCCCAACCCTCCTCCTTTATCCGGGCTTGGGACCGGCAGTGGCTCCCGGAGGGAGTTCAGGCGGAGTTACATCCAGATGTCACTAAACTTTATTCTTTGTGGTACGTATGTACTGTCAAAATGCGGTAATTTAACACACTATCTTCACAGCATTGTTTACAAATTGTAGATCAACTGAGCAAACAATCCCAGGGCTAGATGAATAGGAGTGTTTGAAAATAGTGGTGAATCGATAAATGAAATCGTGAACTCTTATCAATTGAGGCAACTATCTGATGTGTAACATTTCTCGAATAATCATCTATCTACACTGAAGTACAGTATTAACTAGAGTAGGTTAAACAAAACGAAGACATACGGGTTAGTCCAAGATATGGATCAATCCACAATGTAATTGACATTTGATTTGAGTCTTGATGGTTAATGTAAACTAACTGAAAAGAGAAATGTCTTGTATTTGATCACTGTGCCGTAGGTGGATTCACTCTTTGTCTCCTCCCCCTCCCCTAAGCCTTGAGCTTCAATATTAGTCCGCAAATTCCACTTCTTTGACTTACCTATTATTTTCAAATTATATTCGCTAAAATTTCTCATTATTACTAATACTACTAACATTCTGAGCCTTTGGCTATTCATCGTGTTACTTTGAGTTAGGGTAGTGAACAAGAACACTAATGGAAACAATGTGAAGTATTTGAGCACATAATTACAGAGCATCTCAATAAAATCTGAGAACCATATAGTGAATCGTTAACTTGCAAAATATCGAACTTGACTGCTCCCGGTGCAAACATCAATCCATTGTCTCAGATTTCATTGTTCATGCGTTTTCATACCAATTTCGTTCCGTTCCCGTTCTTTCTTCATTGACCGTCTAACAAAACACATTCTATGCCTAACTACCATTATATACTACTCATGTGGATATAAGTAACCCACACCACATTAGTATAATCATTTAGACTAATGCTCTATGATAACTATTGTTACCAGTGAAATTTCAAATTGATGCAGGCAATTAATTCTAAGACAAATTTTAACTCAATAATCAAAGCTATGTACCATTCAATTGGGAATGGAACAAACAATATAATGCAGTGTACACTTACAAAAACTGAGCGCTTTCAAAATAACACCGTGATTTAAAAACGTTAAATAGAGATTTAGTTTAAATAAGGCAAGAAGAGCGGAATAACATGAGTCTATCGTATTTCAACACTTTTCATTAGCTGTAAACGACCTAGATTTATACTAGTAATATTGTACAAACATTTTTATACTCCGAATTCGATGGGAGGTTGATTATCAATACAGTGGTCTTGAGTGCTGTTAGAGGTATGAGGAAGGTTATCATCTCCCGGTTGCCCATATCGTGGAAGGGTTCTTCTGGAGGTAACTGAAAAAGAAATCGCATTAGAAGTGGTCTTAGTGATCTGACAGCGTGACCACAGTGCCCAAACGACAACTGCTTGAGGTCGGTCACACACGACATTCTTGTGAGTAATTTTTGTGAGGTTTGTATTTTCAGAGTCGACCGTTCTAACTCTAGGCCTCCTTGTGGGAAGGCAGCATCGCTGTTATGCTTGTTGTATGCTTCAGTATGACTTCGCCTTCGGACTTTGGGCTTGCTGCTTTTAGTCTTACCGCATTAGATCAGGTTTAGTCCAAAACGATACAAGAACCATACTTGACTCACAAATTAAGTTTGATGAGTAATTATATATTAAGGCTGGAGTTGTTACAAGGAGGTCAGATTTAATCGTCTGACCGTACAATATGTAATAGAGAAATCCATCAATGAGAGAGTTTAATAATTCAGTAATGATGATTATCAAAGGGTAGCCATCATTTTTAGCCGACACTAATTAATTTCCAGTTAGATGCGTAACAATGAATATATATGTATTCATCACAATAAAGTCTCAACATACAGTAGATCAGATGAGTAATAAGGAGAAAGCTTGAAAATTCCTCAAAACTTTAACTAATATTGAGAATCAAAGTGATAGTGGATTTCAACAGTGATCAAGAAGACTTCATGGATAATGTTACACTATTCACAAGGCCTGAATATCTTTAGTTTCAATACAATGTACGGTAGTCTATAAACACTTTGGAAGGGTAATCTAAATTTTTACAAAGTATTCTAGTTGCATTCTATTAAATATATGGTGTTTGACAAGATTCTGAAGTTATTGCCGGTCTTTCCGAGGTGAAGACATCCTTACTTAATAAACTGAAGGTATATTCCATCTGATTTGATGTGAATAGATTACACTGAATAATGTAACAATCAGTTCCGTATGATGTATCACTAGTTTGCAGAAATATCCAAAAATAACCAATCAACAATACAGAAATGTTCAAGTGATTTATACATACAAATAGAAACCTATCCAATTGTTAGGGTTGAAGCTATCACGAGTTCACTTAATCTAAGAACGAGAAACAAGACTCGATGACCAAAGACCAATAAGCTAGCTATTTGATGCGTCCGGCCTCGCTAACTAGAGGGAGAAGTCCAAGCTTGGAATGGGGAAGTATATTCTGCAAACAGCCAAAAACGAGCGATAACAACAAACACAATCCAAAACGTATATATACAATACAAAACCGTCCTTGGGGAGTTACCAAAAATAGCATACTAAAAGATGCAACGAACCAATAACATTTAAGATATTTCCCAAGTGGGAAATACGACATGAAGGTGACAAAAGCGTCTTTGGAGTAAAAACAAAGAAATTCAAATTTTCTAAATATAATTACAAAATTAGTTCCTTTCCCATGTGAGTCCTGGGGATCTAACGTCTCCAACACCAATAAGGATTATTCAAATTATCTAGTCGTATGAATCAAAATACACGAAAATTGTTTTCTTCTAATTGGCTAACATCTTTAAATGTTGATAATTAACAATGTTATCGCTTTCTGCCATAATGTCATAAACGAGAACATAAGCATGGACAATCGAATGTATTTGAGCACAAAATGACAGAACAACTAAGTCAAATCTGAAATCATACAATAAATACTTCTTTTACAAAATATCTATCAATCATTTCAAACTTCATTGTTCTTTCATTTCCACATCAATCATTCTCTGTTCGCATTCTCTCTTCTTTGATCCTCTTAACCTTTTAGCTTCAGACATTTCACTTCCGAATGATGATACATACTACTTATATCTGTCGATATCAGTACTATACACCACATAACTAGTATTATTAGTACTGCTATAACTAATGTAGTAAACGAGAACACAAGTGGAGACAACCAAATGTAACATAATTCAACATTACTGAATATCTTGGATAAAATCTGAAGACCATACAGTAAATACTTTATTTTCAAAATGTCAATCAATCATCTCCGACTTCATTGTTCTTTCGTTTTCACATCAATCATTCTCTGTTATTGTTTTCTTTTCTTCAATTTTCTTAACCGTCTGCTGCAAGACATTTCCCTTTCGATTGATGGATATATACTACTTATATCTATCAGCATCATCATCATCAGTAGTACATATCATAACTGAATTATAAATAAACATAATAACCACATATTATCCATGAATATACTTACTATTCAATGTATAATAGAGAGATGAAAATGTTATAATCATATTACATGTTATAAAAATAAGAGAAGTTCCACCGAAAATATCACTAAGAATATAGTTACGTAATAATAATAATAATAATAATAATAATAATAATAATAATAATAGTAGTAGTAGTAGTAGTAGTAGTAGTAGTAGTAGTAGTAGTAATAGTAGTAGTAGTTGTTGTTGTAGTCGTAGGTGTAGTAGAGGTAGTAGTAGTAGTAGTAGTAGTAGTAGTAGTAGTAGTGGTGGTGGTAGTAATAGTAATATTAATAGTAATCGTAATGGTAATAGTAATAATGATAATAGTAGTAATAGTGCTACTACTACTAATAACAATAAAGACCTAAACAATAACAAAACTCTGTCTGTATTTATCGAATATCTTGAGCAGATAAAAGACGATAGAATATTTCCATGAAAGATAATGAATTTGATGGAAATAATGGTTTATGCAATAAATGATTTTGATGATACATTTCAGTGAAATCAATTCTAGTTACCTAGATGGGATCGTTTCAAAAAAAAAAAAAGAAAAAAAATCCTGATGGAATGGATGGAGAAATGAAAACGAGAAAAGAAACCTATAATGACACTTTAGTAACCAGTTTAACTACAGAATGATTGAACGATAATGATATATCATCTGTTTGTTGATGAGATCCGACCATTGTTGCGACCTTGACGTGGTGGTCGGGCTTGCCTATCGTGATGAAGTAACCGAGCTATACTGACTGGTACAATCGTTCCTCAAGGTCCTACCATGCCAGACAGGTCGGTTGAATTGCAGTAAGACTAAATGCAACAAACCCAAGGTCCGAAGGCGAAGTTGTGATGCTCATTGTACAGAGGTGTGATGGCAGTAAGGTGTTTCCTTCAGACAACCAGCATGACAGAGATGCTGCCTTTTCACAAAGAGGGGTGGGGTGGGGTTAGAAAAGGTCGACCATAAAAATGCACACTTAACCTTATCCAACGAATAGCTGTCTCCGGTGGTAAGGTCTCAACAGTACGGAGCTAACACGAAAATTACTCACAAAAACATCGTGTGTGACCAACCTCAAGCAGTTGTCGCTTGGGCACTGTGATCACGCTCTCAGGTCACTAAGACCACCTCTAATGCAATTTCTTTTTCAGTTACCTCCAGAAGAACCCTTCCACGATGTGGGCAACTGGGAAATGATAACCGCCCTCATACCTCTATCAGCACTCAAGACTGACTGTTGGTGAGACTATAATTTATGAACGACCTATATTTAATTACTTACTTACTCCAGTTACTCCTCATGAAGGAGCATAAGCCTCTTAATAGCAGTCTACATCCAACCCTATCCTGAGTAATTCTTTTCAGCTCTTTCCAGATGTTATTCATTCTTTTTGTGTCTTCTTCTAATCAGTCAGTCAGTAACAACGTAGAACATCAGTTCCAGTTGCCATACCACATTAGAACAGAGATGCAGTTGTCGATTCAAATCCTGTAGTGGTAGAGCTAGTAAGAGTATAGGCAGTAATCGGAAAGATTAGGGTTTGAAGATACTATTCAAGGAGTATAATCTAATGAAATAAATTTTCTCGACGTAATGTATTATTTGGCCTTCCTCTTTTCCTCTTCTTTTCAGAATTCCAAGTTAGGACTCTTCGCATGATACAATTTAGTGATTTCCTCAATGTGTGTCTTATCCATTTCCAACGTCTATTCCTAATTTCCTCTTCAACTGGAAGCTGATCTGTTTTCTCAAAGTAGGCTGTTACTGATGGTATCCGACTAATGGATGTTGAGTATCTTACGCAGACAACTATTTATAAATACTTGTACCTTCTTGATGATGGTTTTAGTAGTAGTTCTTGCTGAAAAAACAACACCAACCAGATCAAGATGGACGACCTTGAGGATCTTCATCTACTTACTAGGATTAAATGACGGTATTAAATTACTGCAAGGAACTAGAATTAGAATTTACAGATGAACGTTAGGGTTAGAAATTATATTTAATGTGTTCATCACAAACTAACAGCAATTAAAATGCCGAAATGATATTTAGCCAAATGACTGAATGAATTTTGCGCGAAAATCTAAGACCTGTTATCCTAAATCTAATTGGTTCGTTAAGAAATTATAATCTCACTGTTTAGCTTTCTTCCATAAAATTAGTAAACAGATGATTAGAGAGATGCAAATTAGAGAATGTGAATGAGCCTACTTTACGAATAATCAGTTAGTCAATGTTTAATATATGGTAGGTAAAGATAAACAATAATAATGATAATTTTGAACGATGTAGTACCTAGCTGAGGAAGATTTTGACAAGATTATAAAATATGGAAGAAACAATGAGGTATAAGATAACAAGTTTCGGGTTTTGGAGTAAAATTCACTCATCCATTTGGATAAATAGATTTTTGGCATTTAAGCTAATGTCTCTAAGTGCCCTGGTATGGCCGAGAGTGGGGTGGGCCCTTCCTCCCTCTCGAAATACTCTCACACGGCTCCCAGGGAAGTCCTACTCATTGCTTTCTCGCACTATGGGTGTCGTTTACGAAATTGGGAGAACGAAAAGCGAATGTCCGAAGCCTAAACCGGATCCCGGACCAAATCAATGGTGCACATGGGCTCCAGTATACTGTGGAAACAAATGAAGTATGAACCAATCGTTGGTCACCGGCGACCACGGGATCGCATCTCCTCACGATGCTCCACTTACTTGTGGATCAGACCTTCAAGTCGAAGGCTCTGGGTGGGGCCCCCTAAGAATACCACCTGCTTCGGTCCGGGCACCCGGACAGTATCACAGCCCACACACAAATATGATGAAATGTCGATATTTATGGAAAATACTTGTCTCGCTACGATTAACAATCAAACGATTCAGACTATTGTTATTATTATTATTATTATTATTATTATTATTATTGTTATTACTTACGTCATTTATTCACTCTATTTTATTCCCACTCTGTGTATACTTATTTTTCGACTTATACAGCAGCTCGTTTATGGTGGAAATTCGGTCCTTTCTAAACGTTCTCGAGTCACTGTCCGGTTGAAAATTGTATGCTACCACCTAATACGAATACTGAAGCAGTTTTTCTGAAACCACGTGCAGCATTCAAACTGGCTGCCTTCAACGTTCGCACACTTATGCAGGTCGGACAACTGATAGGGCTGGCTATGTCTTTGGATGAATTCTACCACCAGTTAACTGTTCTTCTCTAGAAAGGGCATTCGACAGATACTGTAGTATTAGCCAGAGACTTGAATGCTCGGGTGGGGCGTCAAGGCACAGAAGAGAATCGTTTAGTTGGTCGATGGAGAATTGTTGGTCGCAGGATAGATAACGTGGACCGTCTACTGCAACTGTGCATAGACCACAACCTGTTTCTGGCTAGCACTAACTTTCGGCACAGTCATCGCCGATGTGCCACCTGGCGTCCTTCCTCTGCATCTCAAGCCTGGACTCAGATTAATCACATTGCGATCAGCTACCGCTGATCATGTCCTGGTCTGCGCCAATCTTACCTTACTTTTCAGTGGACAACGAAGTGACCGCCACCAACGGATTGATGTCAGCAAGTTGGTTGCAACTTCTGTTGCAAGTAAGTATCGAACCAAGCTAGCTACAATTTCACCGAAAAGTATACATGAGCATTGGCTGCAACTTCATGACTCCATGAAAATGGCGAGTAAAGCTGCTTATGGCTTTGCGAAACGTCCCGCTTATAAGAACTAGGTTTCTTCTGGTTCCTTACAACTCATTGAAGCCCGTCGCTCTACTCCGGGTGACCGTGAGTTTGACCACAAACGAAGAATGTTACGTAATGAAATCGGGCATAGCTTGCTTAAGGACCGAGAAGCCTGGTGGTCGGAGCGTGCTAACGAGCTGGAAGCAGCAGCTGCATCTGGTAACTACCGAAAGCTCTTCCAACTCATCCGAGCCACTGGCAGCAAGAAGTCTGGTGTGGGCGAAACAATCAGCGAGGATGATGGGACACCAATCACTAACATCCATCGACGTCTTGGACGATGGGCAGAATTTTTCGAAGGGCAGTTCAACTGGCCTGCTGCTCCGGCAACATCGGTCAGACTGTCCTGCCCTCCATGGCCGGTGACGACTGATCCACCAAATGAGGCGGAAGTCCGCAAGGAACTCCAACTCTTGAAGCGTTACAAATCACCGGGCCCAGATGACTTACCTCCGGCCCTTTTTAAAGATGGTGGTGACTTTCTGGCTAAGGAACTGACGTTGTTGACAAAGGTCTGGGAGCTAGAGAGTGTACCAACGTCATGGAATGAGTCGATAGTTATCGTTCCTCCAACAACTATCGGAGGATAAGTCTACTTCCGATTGCGTCCAAGCTATTGGCTTCCGTGATACTTCGTAGACTGTTCACAACCCGAGAAAGATTGACTCACGAGGAGCACGCTGGTTTTCGTTCCGGTCGAGGATGTATTGATCATATCTTCACCCTCCAAATTTCACGGCTCATAAACTATCTTTCACTACACCTTTCTATTTGTCGCAACAACAAAAAACAACAATGAAGTGCCAACTTGATTTTGATTGGTTCACTCAAGGTCGCCGATACTTTAAATGCATAAATGTTAAATTACCAATAACCAATTAGACACAATAAGGCGAGAGTATAAACTCCATACAAAACGCACATAATGAATCATCAAAGTCACAAAATGACAGAGCACGTAAAGTAGTAATTAAAAATCTCTAACCAAAATTAGAATGGCACATTTAATAGCCAGATAATTATTATATGGACTACCTTAGTAGTACGACAATAGCTGGCTATAGAACTAAACCTAATTTATATGCAAATTTGAATATTGGCTAGCAGTGAAATCGAGGACGCGCGTTTCATTCTATTTGGAACTCGTCAGCTGGATGTTTGTTTTCAATATTCAATAAAAGTGTAATATATCCAATATTTTCGAGCAATTTCCCATCCATTTTAATACGTTATTGTTGTATATACGATTGCAATTTTCACTCGGGACTTAGTTCATTTTAATCACTTGAATCTATCTATATATGTCTTCTATGAATATGCCTTACTGTAGTGGCATCTTAACATGTTAAATAATTAAAATCAGAAGAAGAATATCCTGGAGATTTTAGTAATTTTATAATTGAATTCATGAGTCAGTTAAAACTAGACCACCATGTAAAACCTGGAAGCACTAGACGGCCGTTTCGTCCTAGTACGGAACTCCTCAACAGTATTTTTCTACAATCCCGCCCACTGGATTGGAACCCAGGACATATCGGCCTCGTGCGCGAATGATTAACCTCTAGATCAATGAGCCGGAATATGATGGTGTTAATGTCTAACTTCAACCAATCTACTGTTGAGGAGTCCCATACTGGGACGAAACGGCTGTCCAGGGTTTCTATGATGGTTTAGCTTCGATTGACTAGTGAATTAAACTATTAAATTACTAAAATCTTCATAAAACCCCCCTTCTGACAATAATCATCATGTGTTCACTAGTGAATGATTTCAAGAGGTATTTCCTGGAGTTCTAATGAGAAGCCGCGGCCGGTGGGTTTCAACTAGGTCTGTTGTGGGATAGTAACTTACTGAAGACAATGGTGGGCGGTGTCTCAATTTCGTGAATTTGGTTGAAGTTAGATATTAACATCGTTGGTTGCCAACCAGCTCAGTGGTCTAGATGTTAAGTGTACGTGCACGAGACTGATAGATCCTGGGTTTGAATCTTGCGGGGTAGGATTGTAGATGCGCACTACTGAGGTGTCTCATACTAAAACGAAACGACGGTCTAGTGCTTCCAGGTTTTCCATGATGGTCTAACTTCAATTGACTCATGAATTCAACTATAAAAATAAATAAAAGCAAATTAATTGAAAATTATAAACTTTAAATGAAATCCTCCGTGATCAATCGAGTAATTATTGAAAACGTGTTAATTATTTTTGATGAAACTTACTTTTAATTGTAGAAATGGAAAATATTTTGAGTCCATTCGCGGTGCTTCCAGAATTAGCTTAGCTAAATAATAAATAATAAAGTGGTAATCTTAATATCATACTGACATCATTGTCTACTTCAAGAGTAGAATTGTACGCAGAGTTTAGATCTCCTGTACTCCTCTCTCTACATTGTAAAGAATATTCCACGAGGAAGCTAACAAGATGGATACCTATTCAGATCACAAAAGAGTTCAGTGTACATCAGTCAAACATCATCAAAATCTAACCAAACCCGAATATTTATCAAGGTGATGGAGATGAGTTATATCTTAGGTGTATGATTATGATGGAGTTTTGTGTTGGTCAGGTTGGTGATTGTTTCATTGTGAAGCTTTTCATGTCTTTGTTGTGTGTATTGAAACGTTAATCAATACCATATCTTAAATTCATCAATTAGAATTCCGATTATAAAGTTCATTGTTTCACATCTATTGATTTGTTCATGATGAATTCTGACGTGAGCACGTAACGTCAGACCGACCTAAGCTACACTCCCTGCCTAGAAACTGAATAGAAGTTAGTAGTCAGCTTTTACTGGTAGTTTGTTCTGAAGAACCTAGTTTTGATAGAATTTTGTCTGCACTTATCTTATCTCGTTATTTTCTTTCATTGGTCGACAAACTGTATTGATTTCAATATGTTTATTGACTGCTAATTGACTTGAATTTCAAGCTTCTAAGTGGATGCGCACTGCTGAGAAGTCCCACAACAGGAAGAAACGGCCGTTCAGTGCTTCTGGGTTTTCCATGGTGGTCTAACACCAATCAATTCATGACCTCAATCGAAAACTTCATAATCTTCACAACCATATACTGATAATTATTTAATAGTTGAATTCATGAGTCAATTAAAGCTAGACCACCATGGAAAACCTGGAAGTATTGGACGGCCGTCTCGCGGGATTCGAACCCAGGATTCACGCGCGGACACTTGGCTCCTAGACCACTGAGATGGTCGGCATCCAACGGCGTTAATGTCTAACTTCATGAATTCAACTATTAAACTACTATACTATCCACCAAAAACACACTTTCTAATTATAGAAGTATTTAAATTAAACAACTTACTTTGATAATTTGGACTATTCAATAACCAGAATATTAAAGATTCCAATGGGAAATCCATAATAAACCAAACTAAACTTTTTAAACTATTTTTAATCAGTAGTAAAACCAATTGAACCTAAAAATTGAATGTTTTTTTTTGTTGAAAGAAAAGAAGATGGAAATTTGAGTTCACCAACTAATTTACTCAATAAAAAAACTTAATAATCTCCACAACCCGTATAATGATAATTTCCATGTGCTCACTAGTGACCAGCTTCGTGAGGGAATTCTCGGAGTTCTAGTGAGAAGCCGTGACCAGTGAAGCTAATCCGTGTCAGGTAGAGACAGGTAACTACCTCAGTACAATGGAAGTTGGTCGTGCAATTATGTGGATTGGTTGATGTTAGACACTAAGACCATTGGATGCCGGCTCAGTGGTCTAGTTGGTTAAGCACCCGGCGCGAGACTGACAGATCCTGGGTTCGAATCTCGCGGGGAGCGGGATCCTGGATGAGCACTTCTGAGGAGTCCTATACTAGGACGAAATGGCCGTCCAGTGCATCCAGGTTTCCAACGGCGGTCCAACATCAATTGATTCATGATCTCAATAAAAAAAACTTAATAATCTCCACAATCGCTATACTCACTCTATAATAGTTACAAAAACAATATGTAACTATCAATGTGAAGTGAATGTTAGCTGTAGAGAGAAAAGAGGTAATAAACTCAATAAGAGTTTTAGTTTAGAATACTACAATGAAAATATTTTTTTATTATACGCAGGAATCTTCATAAAACTACACTGTATTCAAATGATTGATCATTGAGCGATGAATAATGTCATGTTTGTCTTGTCCTGCAGTGTTGAACGAACTTTGTCAAACAAGTGGCTGACTGGTTCGACATTACATGTACTATGACGAGATATTAACTCCGCTAGGAGCCCTTCTGACACTACTGCCGGTCCCAAGCCCGGATAAAGGAGGAGGGTTGGGAATGAGATTAGCGAACCCATCCCGTAGAAAACTAACTCGCTAAACAAACGTCAACCAGAAAAAAATAATAAGTAATGACAAGATATTAGGTAGCTGGAGGTAGTTAACAGGAATCCCTCGACCTATGTTTCGTGCTACTTGATACTAGTTAGCAAAGCTTATCTAGAATCATTTTATATTTATTTACTTTATTTAAACACATAAAAATTGGTACAAGGAAGCACCAAATAGATATGCGCCACATAAATCATTCGATTTGTTTGACGGCTGGAATACTGCCCGGCGCTCAAACCGAAGCAAGCGGTTTTCTTAGGGAGTCACTGCCGGAGCCTTTGGACCTAGAGTTCCAATCCACAAGGCAGTGAAGCAACGTAAAGAGATGAAGTCCCGTGGTAGCTGGTCACCAATAATAGGTTCGTACGCCATTTGTTTTCTTAGGATCCTGGAGACCATGTACGCCATTGGTTTGGAATGAGGGTTTCCCAACTCCCCTAGGTGAACCTTCAGTTTCCACCAACCTGGTTAAAGCGCCGGAAATTCGCTTTCCATCCTCTCAATTTCGTAAACAATTATGAGGAGACTGATGCTCTTTATGGGATTTAAACGCGCAACACAAGGTGAATAGTCTAAAAAGTTACGTACGAGCTACTCAGGACGTGACTGGCTCCCTATGAGGTATTTTTCCAACTACTCAATAAACTACACTATCTATTTATTTATGTACGCACAGGAGTCGCTGGCTTTAAATTAGGTTCCAAACGTTTAGTAGGAAGTTTCAAATTATGTCAGTTGAAACATGTCTACAACTGAGACGGATATCCCATCAACGATGGTGTCCATGTAACGTCGCGAAATGTTTGAAACAAAGAAAAAAGCAATTCACCAGATTATTAAATCATGGCGTGTGTTAATAATAATGTATTTCAAATGCAACCCAATATTCCTGTGATATATCAGTGAGTCGGCAGTAATACGTCAATGTTGACCAATACTCATGTCAAGTGATATTGTACGTACTAGTCCCAGCAAAGTTAAGCACAACAATAAATACTCCAATATCAAAGTTTAATGGTAAGTTATATGCAAGAGTGTACTAGTAACCAATCTTACGTGTTTTCGAATTATTACTCGGATGATTTGCGACCATCCAATTAGCGATTTTGAGGTTGGACGGAAAGTATTAGGTAAGTATGACAAATCGAGTGAAGAGGTAGTGAATCATTTTCGGCTTATATATGGTTAGGATAATCTGGAACCACAAGGATGGTGTAGGACTGTGTTGAGAGAAAACAAGGGGTATCCGAATCAAGACATGGGTATCAGTCCATGAAGACAGTGAGTATTGAACTGGCCATATAAGTAGATAAAGATTACCTTTTGTGGTCCGCGTAATTATCATAACTAATAGTGACATGGTTCCAAATCGTTCAAAATCTCACTGGTGCATTCACTTTTTATCATCACATAGATCTTAGGTTTCTAAATTACCTTACAATTTTTCTTTCGTTTCGCTAACTTATATTTTCTTGAAGCATAACGTTCATGCCAAATCTTTTCTATTGCCATTAATATACTGTTACAACCTCTACTATTCTGTGATTTGCCGTGGCAACTTGAACTGATTTCTTAATGTACCAGGTTCTACGTTGCAATTGAATGACTGAAGAATGATCTTTGTCAATTCGAAAACCTGCCATAGTATGTTACTTATCCAGGATTCTACAAAATTATTATTGGGAATTCAAGTCAACGATGATTATTCCATTTCGGAATCAATGGAATACATAATCATTAACAGATGACTAAAGCTTACTAGATTTCAATTCAAGTCACTAGTAGTCATGTAAATCATATTCATCTGCTTTAAAGCACAAAAACGTTTTACCGAAAAAACTAGTTACTTTCCTATATTTATAGGCATGCAGTATTGTATATCAAAAAGGGTTTAGCTATATCAAACTTTTTGGAGATTTCACATCATCACATTAGAATAGTTTGTTTAACAGAAAGCGAGACTTAGTAGTTAAAGCATTCTACTATCAACTATTAAGTCACAGATGTGAATTGCACTCCATCTACATCAATCTAGGTAATTGGCTATCATTACAAGCTCTCTGACATATCCCGCGTGAGAGACCATGGATGAGCATTGCTGAAGAGTCCCATACTAGAATGAAACGATCATCCAGTGCTTCCAGGTTTTCAATGGTGATCTAACATTTATTGTCTCAATCAAAAACCTAACAATCTCCACAACCCCACACTGATACACAGAGAATAGCTTGAATGTGCCTGGAAAGTGAGATGAATGTATAAATATAAGCTTTAGTTGAAAATTTAACAGCTCACAAAAATGGAACGATGAAACTCAATATTATCTAAAGTAATTAGTCCTTTTTATAAATTTCGATAGAGCTATAAGATGGAGTTGATCTGAAAAATGTGATGTATTTGCGCTATACATTGTATTTAACTTCAATCAGTAGGTCCTGGGTTCGAATCCCGCGGGGTGCGGGATCGTGGATGAGCACTGATGAGGAGTCCCATACTAGGACGAAACGGCCGTCCAGTGCTTCCAGGTTTTCCATGGTGGTCTAGCTTCAATTGACTCATGATTTCAACCTGTGAAATTTCTAAAAATCTCCACATAACCCATTCTGATAATACATTGTATTTACCAATTTACATGTTTGTGTGAACAAACATACATAGGGAAGAGTAATCGAACAATACAATTAAGGATCATTGAACATGTGCCTAGATGGTTTCAAAACAAATTAGTGTCAAATGGTCCAATCAAGGTGGGAGGTAGAAAACCATGTTCATCGATAGCGAAACATATGTATATTTGAAACGAGGCACAAAATTGACACTAACACCGCTTTTAAAACGTTGTCATGGATGAATTTTCAAGTTTATTGAAGCTTTGGCTATTCGTAAATTTACCCTCACCACCACCGCCACCACCCGCATTTGTGTACAAAAACAAGTTGTCGTGACTTAGATTCGGTTGATGTTGTTTTAATTGTATCTTCCCATTGTTATTTAGGACTGTAATTAATCAGTCTCTTGTTGGCATATGAACATCCTGTGCAGATTGCCTCGACATAGACTAAAGTCATAAGCTTTTTCGTAACCTTGAATTTACCCTAGTAATCCTTAAGTCATTTTATGGTCTAGGATAATGTGACAATTTCTTATCTTTTCTATATAATGCAAAATGTTTCTCTCCCCTTTGTTACCTTTGATGCTTGAACTTTCATTTAATTGACCTTTATTAATTTTCATATAAAAATGCCCTGACAAGAATCCGTGTGATCAGATTGTTCGAAATATATAGTGCAAATACATCACATTTTTCAGATTAACTCCATCTTCTAATAGCTCTATCAATACTATCTCCTAAGAATCAAGGTTGGATGGTTTGATCGTGGATATAATCAGTATTCTTCTGGCGAGGGTTATCAGGACAAAATTCAGTTAGAAGTGAAGTATTCGAATCTATCTACATTTGACTAAAGCCTTATCCTGTCAACTTTGATCTTGATTGATCAACATTGACGTTTCACCTGTCAATATCTGCCTCTTTATTTTGTTTATATATCCATTTGATCTATATTTATCCAGAGTTTTCCAGTCGAATGTGTATACAAAAATGTTCATATGTATTGATATAAGCGAAGATATATTACGACATTTGACTGTTAATTGATGATCATGGACAAATGTAGAACAAAAGATTGGATTAAAATCAAGTGACAATAATAACAGATTAAACATTAACAGTAACCATTCAAAATTGAGCCCCCAAATGCCCTGGTACGGCCGAGAGTGGAGAGAGTCCGCTCTTCCTCTACAAATGCTCTCACGTGGCCCCACACGTTCATAGCCTCTGCCAGGGAAGTCCTACTCACTAGCCTCTCGTGGTGGGATGTTTTTTACGAAATTGAGAGGACGAAAAGCGAATGTCCGGCACTTTAATCGAGCTGGTGGATACGGAGAGTCCACCTATAGGAGTTGGAAAACCCTCATTCCAAGCCAATGATGAACATGGGCTCCAGGATCCTAAGGGAACAAATGACGTGTGAACTAATTATTGGTAACCGGCTACCATGGGACTGCATCTCCTTACGTTGCTGCACTGCCTTGTGGATTAGATCTTTAGGTCGAAGGCTCATGGTGTGGCCCTATAAGCAAACCACCTGCTTCGGTTTGGGTACCTGGACAGTATCACAGCCCTCACACACATCGAATGATTTATGTGGCGCATATGTATTTGGTGCCTCAATACAACTATACATAATGTTCACTTACAGATGCAAATGTAATATAAAATGCTATTGTCGTAGTAAATAAACATAATCCAATAGCAAGACCCAATAAAGTGGAAACTAATAAACGATCCAGATATACTCCACATGTTTGTTTAGTCAATTGATCACATAGAATAATATCAGAATCTTTTTTATGAGAAATAAATTTATACAATACATTTTCTTGTCGCACAATTGATCTTTCTGATTGTTGTTTTTGGCAGTGATTTTTGTCGTTGAAAAATCCTGGTGTAGTAGTAGCCGTCGATAATATTGTCGGTGATGATGGAGATGATGATGATGAGGATGATGAAATTTTCTTCTGTAATGAACTAACTGATAAGAAAAATTCATTAGAATCAAGATACATATCCGGTATTTTATCAACACGATTACGTAATGGATTCCATTTAGAACTATTACGACATAGACGCCATGAAGCAGCTATTGTTTTCAATTGTAAACGAAGTAAACTATAATAAAAGTGAATAAGGAGATTCAAATGAGAACGTAACATTAATACATATACATATAGAATATGCAAGAGGATATTTTTGGTGACAGTAAGTGATTATATCTAGCTAATTACATTGATGTAGTGGAGACGAGATGTAAACCTTAGATACAATCACCGAAGAGCATACACAAACATTGACATTTTTGTTAAGAGAGAAATGTGGTGAATATGTTTGAGACCACTTTTTATTCATATCATCTAGAAACCATTGAATCATTCATTTCGAAAAATCCACTGAAGGCATTCCTAGAGAAGCTTACATATACAATTACACTGTTCACAATTGATTGATCAATGGGTGGTGACCAATGTTATGTGTGTCAAATCCTTATTAGTGCAGATCGATTGTTCGCGGCCCGGATAGCTCAGTGGTAACGTCTCTGACTTTGAAGCTGGGTGACACGGGATCGAATCCGACAGGGAGCACAAGTCCCTTCAAGATTGCAGGTACACCTTGCTGACGAGTGCCAAGTAGCACGAAACCCGGGTCCAAGGTTTCCTGTCGACTACCTCCAACCACCATCTAATTACGCTATTTGACTGTATGCAGTGATATAAGTTTGTAGATGAGTAAATCACAGCGTCTAATATACCTACAGAAGGATATCTGCAAAACAAATTGGTAATGATGTAAGATGGTTAGAAATATTTAGAGAAATCCTGCTGAACCTAGCTTTCGTGTTTGTCGGCCCTCGTCAGTAAGGCGTACTGGCAACCTTGAGGCAAATGATGCTCCCAAGTGGATAAGAACGTGGGTCACCCAGTTTCATGATCCAGAGTATCACTGAGTTTGTTCAAGACGAAACAGAATACTTAAGGGTTAAATGCATAATTGCAAGTTTAAGTCTTGAGCTTTTGGGAGAGTCGTTGATACTTTCAAAACCAAATTAAGTATAGTCGGGTTCAAACTTGTGATCTAATATCGGTTAAAATATGAGTGCATAAACCATTTAGTCGCCGCTCCATTTAAAGTAAATCATTTATAAAGAACAGGTTTATGTACCCAGTCCTAGGAAACACTTTTTAAGTGGTGTTGCTTGAACCGAAGTTTGTGAAGTGGAATTTCACTGTCAACATTCCAGAAAGCTTAAAGTTAAGTGTGACATCGACGAAAAATTGTATAGCAGAAAAACAAACTGGACAGGATTACTGTAAAAAAGTAAAACACTAAACTATTTCATAAGTTAGCCTTCAGGATGAATTGATTTCAGTTGAAAGTCAAGAACCACTGAATAGCCTGTTTCATTCTACTTATCAGCTATGTGAACCACATAGGAGATCAAACATCAAAATAAACACGAGATTACTACTGAATTATTGAGTTGGAATTCGATAGTACCATCAGTGACGTTTCTCAATATGGATATGATTGAACTCTACCAGTCACGGCTAATATTATAAATAATTTTAAAGCAACTGTACTGTTATCGGAAATTTTGGAGATTTCTACAATACCAACCAGATCGGTTGAAGAAAGATTAGAAATGAGAAAAGTAAAGTGCATAGGTGAAATCTTACTGCTGACTGCACATGGGTGTGGCAGTGGTATGTAATTTTCTTTATACAACAACAATCGACCACAATTTGTTTCAAGGATTTCAATCTCCAGAGATAAAGCCTTACGAATTATGGAGGTATTACATTAACAACTAATCACAAAATGGAGTGTAAGACTGGCCTTAAAAGGTTATACCTTGGGTTTTACGGTCACGCTCCTAGGTCGCTGAGATCATCACCAATCCATTTTTTTCTCCAGGTCTCCCAAGAAAAACCATATTTCAACGGTGTGGACAACCGGGAAGCAACATACCACCTCATGCTTCTAACAGCGCTCAGAATAATCCTGGTTACAATTAAATCCTATTACTAACAAGCGACTAAAGTGCTATTGTCGGGAACATATTACTATTAAGTCACTACTGTATCAGATTCTCATACTTTACATTCTTCAAACTTTAACGAATTTGAACTATAGTGTAACTGTCAGATAGTGTTGTTGTTTTTGTTTTCGTCGTAACCGTCAAAAATTCATCTCATTCCAAACTAGATTGACTACGCAGGTCAAGAGAGATTTCCAGTAAAACCTACCGGAAACTAATCTCTATATAACATCAATAATGAGTACTGAAATAGTACTCATTTCGGTTAGGGTAGGACTTAACAGTAGGACTCAATTGTAAACAACTGAATGCAGTGAATGTGAATAGGCGGTGGTTTTCGCCAATGAGTAATGACAAAACTCAATTACATAATTATCACTTATACAGTCTGTTTGTTCACATTAAGGTCGAATGACTGGGTCCTAAATGGTTGTATATTAAGTGTTTAAACCATGCAATCATAGCTTGCACGTGTCAACGATCATAGTACACACGACGGACAATATACCAAAGTATTCAATCATCGATCGAATATTTTAGGCTGGAGGTAATGGTGAATCCAGAGGTGTGAAAAACGTAATATATGTACCGTAATCATATGACTTCATGAATGACCTAGTATATTCAGAAGTAGTGAGAATAGGCTTCCTCTCTCTCTATCATTGTAAACATTTCCACACGATAAATCAAGATTCAGGAAATCTCTTACGCACCTGTCTACAATCGATTTGCCTCAAAAGTTACGACTTTAATTAGATCCAAGATGATGGGTACTTACTTTGGATACTTCAACTATGCACGGTCTTTAAATTTCTCAAGGAATACGATGTCTAACGATTACTGATTTATGTCGAGTAATTAATAAATAATAATTCAAATTCACAGCCTACATCACTGATTACTTTTACCAGGATAATCAGGAAGCACTGGACAGCTGTTTCGTTTTGGTTTGGGGGACCCCTCGGACACTGTTATCCACGACTACCTCGGGTATCGAACCCAGGGTCATTCGGTCTCGCGGTAAGCGCTTAACCTTCAGACCACTGACCGGGTATGCAATAATCTACATGCCTGATTCCAACCACTTTGCTATAGTGAGCAACCATTTTTAATCCTATTGACCAGTAACTGTCATTAAAGAACGCATTACGTCGGGAAATAGAATCAGATATGAAAAGGATGAATAACAACTGTAAAGGATTCCCCAGGACAGGGTTGGATGGAGAATACTGGTGTGCGGCCTATGCCCCTCCACGAGGAGTAACAGGCGTTAGTAAGTAAGTATTTGAATCTTTCCATAGACATTGAAGACAGTAATTGATCAGTCTATTATAGACATATATGCATCTTGTGCAGATTGCTTTGACATTACCTGCCTTTAAACAACCAATACAAAAATGAATTGAATAAGAGAAATACTTTCTCTAAAAAAGAAAAAAAAACAGAACAAAACTTAATAGTTGAATTCATAAGTCAGTCGAAACTAGACCACTATGGAAAACTTGGAAGCATTGGACAGCGGTTTCGTTCTAGTATGGCACTCCTTATCCACGATCCCGCCTCGCGGATTCGAACTCAGGACCTATCGGCCTGTTGTTATATCTAGTGCTTAGATTCTTATTATATTGAGTACAACTTGACCAACTCGAGCGCTAGAACCCTTCAAGTCGCAAATGAGAAAACAACTGAAAGGAATGATATTTCAAAACAGTGTTACTTATGGTACAAAACTGTCAAGTATTTATGGTTTTTAGTAAAAACGAAAGCATCATTATAGTTCTCCAACCCACACACGGGGGGTTATTAGCATTGTCCAGTCGAGAAGCTACACTTAGAGATTCTAGAATATTCTTCCAAAAGGTGATTGGGTGGAATATCTTCGGCTATTTCTGAGCTTCTTACAGCTTCCTCGAGTTCACCCATGAACCGTCCTCATAGTAACTCACTGAAGACGATGGTGAACAGTGGCACAATTTCGTAGATTAGTTGAAGTTAGACATTAACATCGTTGGATGCTGACCGGCTCAATGGTTTAGAGGTTAAGCGTCCGCATGCGAGACTGAGTCCTATGTGAGGGATCTTGGATACGCACTACTGAGGAGTCCCACAGTAGGACGAAACAGTCATCCAGTACCTTCAGGTTTTTCATGGTAGTCTAACTTCAATCGACTCATGAATTCAACTATTAAAATTACTACAGAAAACCCCTTTTTTGACAAAACGAAATTAAGAGTAAATTGAAGCTAGACCACCATGGAAAACCTGGAAGCTCTGGATAGCTGTTTCGATTGTCCCCACCCCTGTTCTTGTTCACTATATACTTGCCCCCAAATGCCCTGGTACGGCCGAGCGTAGGGAAAGTTCGCTCTCCCTCTCGAAATTCCCTCACATGGCCATGCATATACAGCAGCCTCTGTCAGGGAAGTCCTGCTCATTGCCTTCTCGCACCATGGGTGTTGGTTACGAAATTGAGAGGACAAAAAGCGAATGTCCGCCGCTTTAACCGGGTCGGTGAACACGGAGAGTCCACCTAGGGGAGTTGGAAAACCCTCATTCCAAACCCATAGTTAACATGGGCTCCAGGATCCTAAGGAAACAAATAGCGTATTGGTCACCGGCTACCATGGGACTGTATCTCCTTACGGTGCTCAACTGCCTAGTCAAGTGGGTTAGATCTTTAGGTCAAATGGTTCCAGGTGTTGCCTCCTAACAAAACCACCTGCTTCGGTTCGGGCACCTGGGCAGTATCACAGCCCTCATACAAATCAAATAAGATTTATGTGGCACATATGTATCTGGTTCCACCTAGTATAGAACTCCTCAGCGATGTGCATCAACGATCGCCCCCCCCACACACACACACGGGATTTGAACTCAGGACCTATCAGTTTTCTATGTTGGTCTAGTTTGAATTAACTCATAATTTCAACTATGTAAATTATTAAAATCTTTATAAAAACCCCTTTTGATAAAAAAAAATTAATAAAATACAATATAGATTATAGATATATAAATGAACTTACTGTGTAGCATATATATAAAAGCTTGTTAAATGCAATGTAATCAATTCAATTGTATCTAATAATAAACAAATTAATAAACTAAACAATAAACGTATTATTGTTGATATATAAATCATAAACATTCTCAATAAGGATACAATATAAACATAGGGGGGAGGAGCAGGAGGAAGAGGATAATAGTGTTTATATTGATATATAGATAATGTTGTTACTAAGTAAATTGTACTCATTAATAAACATATGATTGTTATAATATTGATTAAAATGTAATGATAATGATAATGATGATCGTGATTATTGAATGAATCAATTCCAGTGAATTGTTTTAATTGATTCATTAAATCAATTAATAAATAAATAATAAATGTAACATAAGAACGCCATGCTAATATATGATATAAAAAAAATTGTCCCATTAAATAGGATAAATGAATATTGATTTTTAAACCAGCTGGTTTACCTTGTTCAAGCCATAATAGAAGACGAGTTAATTCACATGTGAAATACTGAAGAAAAAAAAAGAAGATAATAATGAAAGTAATAATTCGTTCTTATTAATTGAAGTTAGACTATTATGGAAGCATTGGATGACTGTGTCATCTTAGTATGGGATTCCTTAAGAGTGCATATCCATGATCCCGCCTAGTGAGATTCCAACTCAGGATGTATTGGTCTCTTATTTATTTATTTTAACACATAGATATTGGTACAAGGAGGCAACAAATACATATACGTCGCACAAATTCATTCGATATGTGTGAGGGCTGTGATACTGCCCGGGTGACCAAACCGGAGTAGGTGGTTTCCCTAGGGGGCCACACCCGAAACCTTCGACCTAAAGATCTGATCCACAAGGCAGTGGAACGACGTAAGGAGATGCAGTCCCATGGTAGCCGATGACCGACGATTGGTTCATACGCCATTTGTTCCTTAAGGATACTGGAGCCCATGTGCACCATTGTTTTCGAATCACGGTAAGACATCGAGGAACGATTGTTCCAATATAGCTCGATTGATTCGTCACGATAGGCAAGCCCAACCACCACGTCAAGGTAGGAGCTACAGTCGGGATTCACCAGTCAATCAAAGCTAGATTGCCAGTGAAAACCTCGAAGCACTGGGCGGACATTTTCTCCTAGTATGGGAATTCTCAGGAGTGAGCATCGATGATCCCGCACGCGGAACTCGAACCCGGGACACAGGTTTAGAAGGAATTTGAGTTTTCAAACTGCTATGCATTTTTCCCGGTTAATTATCACATCAGAAAATTGCCAATCTGAATACCGACTTATATGACCTTATTCTTGTGTTAAACCAAATGACACATCAAAACAGCACTAGCAGCTTCGTGTCAAATTCTGAATCCTTATTGGTCCATCTTGCTTAGTCCTGTCCATTGAGTTTAGAAAACAATCTCACCTTCCACTGAATGAATCATGTATTTCAGAACTACTCAGTTTATATACAAGTAAATCATACCATACCATACCAAAAAGTGGCTGTGATTGTGTGAGGCTGTTACTTATACATTGCGATGACTGAAGAGTAGTGAACCGAATAATAATCGTCAATAGGTAAATTGAAAGCTTATAATAACACCAACAGTTAGGGCTGTATGTTTATATCATTTTGTAAACAATTTTGATATGAGGATATGAATAGTAAAACTAGTAGCCAAACTGATAGATTTGAATATTTGATTGAAGTTTGAGCATTCACTTGGCTGAGAATCAGTCACAATGCAACAAATGTATTAAATCGTAATGTTCCCCAAGAAGCACTAATGACATTACTACCCTATTACGCGAACCAAAATAGGTGTAGTGGGGCTCGAACTTGGAACTTTTTGGATAAAAGTCGAAAAGCTTAACCACTAAGCCACCGCTTTAGTTAGTCGATCCCATTCAGTTATAAATCATCAAGTCACAAATTTGAATTCCATTTCCCTACTCACATTTAATCGGTCAAGTACAAACTACTAGCTAACTGATGACTTCTGTAATGAGTCTGTGAGCTAGACGAATAGTGTATAATTCCAACATTTAATGACAATGAGACCCCTTGTTAAACACACAGAGGCCTGAGACTGTTTAAAAGATTCATTGATAGAGACTGAAAAGACAAGGAAAAACTCTTGATGCTCATTATCAATACCGCTTGATGTTAGCTTCGGGTCTTGATTAATACGGCTGCTCAGTAAAGATGTTCGAATACCAGTGAATTTTTACAAAGGCGAACTACAAATCAAAAGTAACGACTTGAAGTGATCCTTCATCAGCGACTTTAAAATCAGAATCATTCACATATGAAACTCACAATACCAGGAAATTGTCAGTTCTGCCCATTATATGCTTTAAAACATCAGTACTGGATGCCTAACAATAACGAATTGTTACCATACTACAGGCTTAGTGATTGGACAGTGTTATCAAAAGAGCAACTGTATTTGTTTCTGCGTTAAGATACTGTGTTAAAGTACTTAATTTGAATCAGCTAAATCCAATTTTCCAAGTAGAAGCAAAATCTTTCATGCATCACTCTAACATCACAAATATCATTGAAATCACGAACAGATCTGAGTTAAATAATAATTGAAAGCCTGGTATTATTGGACGGCGTTATATCTTAGTGTGGAACTCCTCAAAAGTAGGTGTGCACCACCTCGTGCCCAAGAATCGAACATAAGACATTCAGGCTTGCTCATGGATGCCGAATCTCTAAACCAATGAACCGAGATTTAGTAGTGTAAAAGTCTAACCAATCAACCCACCAAACTTGTAAACCACTAGGTCACGACTCAGTGATCTTATTTATTTATTTAAACACAAGCATTGGTATAAGGAGGCATCATATACATATGCACCACATAAATCATTCGATTTGTGTGAGGGCTGGGATACTCCCCGGGTGCCCGAACAGAAACAGGTGATCTAGAGGTTAAGCATTTGTGCGCGAGACCAAGGGTTCCGAGTTTAATTCCCGGTCACAGAATTATGAACGTGCACTCCTAAGAAGTCTCATACTAAAACAAATTGACCGTCCACTACTTCCACGTTTTAAATAGTTGTCTAATTTGGATCGATTCATGATTTCAATGAAATGTAACAATCTCCCCAATTTCAATACTGACATCTCAGTCCTACAGCTCAGTGGTAACGTCTCTGACTGTGAAGCTGGGTGACACGAGGTCGAATCCGCCAGGGAGAACCAGTTCCCTCAAGATTACAGGTACACCTTGCTGACGAGTGCCAAGTAGAACGAAACCCGGGTCCAGGGTTCCCTGTTGACTATCTCAAACCACCATCTAATCATTTACACCGTTATTCAATCGAAATAAGCTTGTACTTATTCTATTCAATCACATTCGATTTAAATATTGAAAAGAAAAGAAAGAAATCTGTATATATCATTCATAATATACTCACTTCAATATAACGATAAAGTATATTCATTTGACAGTAATCTGTTGATGGTGACAGATAGTTCATTAATTCTTTTGTGGAATTATATAATATGAATGGAGATGATGAAGATGATGAGAGATTTGTTGATGATAATGTCAATGTATAATTTTCTTCATTTTTATCTAAATAAAATAAGCCTAATGTAGGGATAATTTTACAATTTAAATCATTCGGTAACCAACTACTACTAATGGCTGTATTAGTAGTAGTAGTAGTCGTAGTAGTAATAGTATGATAATTTGATTGAATAGTATTACATGAAGATAATTGAGATGATGATTTATTCACATGAGGTGTACAGTATCCAAAATCATAATTATTATCACTATGATGATGATAATGATTATGCGGTACTGTAATTAAACATAACATTAAAATTAATAATTGTATAGCACAAAATATAACTAGACTAGGATCTGGTACAAAAGTTGACAATGATAACATTTTCGAATGGTGGACATATAGCATAGAAGAATGATTTGTGGTACTGATGTTACTACTGTTATCAGTAGTAGTAGTAGTATATTGGTAGTATTGGATAACTTATTTAGACAATTTGTACAGAATGTAGATGATTTCTTTGACGTATCATATTGGTATTTAATTAATAATAAGGTATAACTCATTTGAATGGTTTTGTTAAACAACTTGGTGAAAATCTGTACTATTATCTCAATGAAACGGGAATATTGCCGTGAACATCTAGGGAGGGAAAGAAAAAAAACGAAATTTGATGATAAACGAATGAACACTTTACTGAATATACTAATATATCAGAGCTAAGATAACAGTTGGTTGATCACTGCCAGGGAAGTCCTAGTCACTGCTTCGCTAACGGGGTGGTGATCACGAAATTGAGAAGACGAAAAGCTTTAACGGGTTGGTGAGTATGGAGGATCCGCCTAGGGGGGGGTGGAAAACTCTGATTCCAAACCAATGATGTACATGGACTTCAGTACCCTGAGGGAACAAATGGTAGTATGAACCCATTGTCGGTCACCGGCCACCACACTAATGCAACTCCTGACGTTGCTCCACTGCCTTTTGGGTCAGACCTTTAGGTCGAAGGCGCCGAGTGTGGTCACTTAAGAAAATCACGTGCTTCGGTTTGGGTACCCGGACAGTATCCCAGCCCTCACGCAAATCGAATGATTTATGTAGCGTATATTTATTTGGTGACTCGTTGTACCAATGTTTTTGTGTGATCTTAGAGTACAAATCTTTATAACTGGATGAATATTGTAGAAGCTGGAGCTATTGGAAACATTTATCAAGTTATTATTACACCAAATTTTATTCTATATCTATTAATTTCTCAATTTATTGTGTAATGCCGTCCAGCATATTTGTATGTGAATCCAAGTTTGTTTGAACCATAGAAATAAGAGAAACTGGTTACTGACTTTTTGAAGCCCAAGGAAAGGCATAGAGAAAAGCTAGAGGATATCGAATTGATAGGAGCTTAAGTGAGTTGGCTCAAGGCCAACAGTATTGGTCAAGCGTACGCTGGGTCAGGTTTGGATCAACAGACCATGGAATAAATGGTAGACGAGGAATAGACAAAATTCGAATTCTGACCGGTCATTTTAAAACGTGATATTGGTCAGCGTCTTCTATACACAATACAACTCAGAAAGCGATAACAGATAGCATTTACCTTATTATTGTAGTGAACAAGAACTCAAGTGGTGAAAAGCAATTTGCTGTTTAAAGCACAATCGCACAATGGTTTAACAAAGTGTGAAAAATATACATCAAATACATCATTCGCACATCATCTCTGAATTGCCTCTCATAAGCTTCATTGTTCCTTCATTCCTATTGTTATCTTAATTGCTTTCAGTTTCCTTCTCCCTGCTTTTCATACCAATCTTCTCAACCTTTTGCTCACAAACATTGCACTTCCGACTGGTGCTACATACTACTTATATCTGCAAATATAAGCAGCATACAACACAGCACATTAGGAGCAAAGTAAGATATCAGTAAAATCTACTGATATTTAGTGATTAAGAACGTTAAATTGATAAACACAGTGAGACTAAAATATAGAGATCATGATTTATACATTGTTAAATGTAACTTCAAAGTCATTGATATTTCAAAGCACACAGCACTAACTCCAAGAGGATTCATCCTTTCGGGATGACACAGCACTTTTCAACTCACTTATAGATCATTATTTCCAACTACTAACAAGCATTCCCAACCTTAAATAATAGTTTAGATTGTAGATTATAATCCTGAAATGCCGTGACCAGTGGAGTCCAATCTGTGTCGGGTGTGAGACAGTTTATCCACCACAGTCAAATACTGAACGGTTGCGCAAGACCATGGATTGATTGAAGTTAAACATTAACACAGTTGGATGCCAGTTCAGTGGCCTAGAGTTTAAGCGTCTACGCACGAGCCCGAAGGTCTTAAATTTAATCCCTGTGTTCAGGGTTGTGGATGCGCTCTGTTAGGTAGTCCAATATTAGGATGAAGTGGCCGTCCAGTACTTTCAGGTTTTCAATGGTGGTCTAACCCAGATCGATTGATGATTTAAACCATGAAAGATAGGAATCGTTGTGTTGTAGTTGTTGAAATAATAATAATAATAATAATAATAATAATAATAATAATAATAATAAATAATAAGAAGAAGAAGAAGAAGAAGAAGAAGAAGAACACTAAGAATCATAATAATAAGAATATCATGCAATTAAGAATAAGAAGAATGTCTTGCAACGGAGGGCAAATCATGATGAAGACAAAAGGAGAATAATCAGAACTAGGAATGAAACGGCTCAGTTGTGGTGGAAAAGGTAAACAACGGGGGTAAATTAATCTTTTCCATATACATAGGTAAGTTTATTTGAATTGATGTTAATTCTTCACCTAATACATAGTAAGAGTAATCTTGTGCGTCCTGGTAGATTACTAGGAACTGAGAAGGCACCTTCGATTTTAGTGTCTGACCATAAATTTTTCAAAGTTTCAAACATGAACTGATCTTAGCTAGACTCCTACTAAAAACTTGAAAGTCTTGCATGGCCGTTTTGTCCTAGTGTGAAACTCCTAAATGGTACCAACCACAACTCCACTAACAGGAATCGAACTAAAGATCTTCGGCCTTGTGCACGAACCTTAACCTCTAGACCACTGAGCTAGCGTTCAACGATATTGATGTTATATCCCGATAAGAATAATGAATGGTAATTTTTGGGATCCGTTTATGGAACAATGCTATGATTATATTTTTATCGTGTAATTGTTATGTAACTAAACTGTTCATATTCACGTCCCTCTTATTATGAGTTTTATTTTGACCTATGAACTATTATTATACGACTTACCACTCTTCAATTATTCCCTGTCTGTTAATCACTACCTTTCTCATTCACAGTCACTTTTGGCCAAATATTTTACAAATGTACGTTGTGGTCTGTTTGATTGGTATATAAACCCTGTATGCTTGAAATAAATGATTCATGTTGCAGAGGCTGAGATTGGTGTTCTGGACTCAACTGGCTGGGTTAGACGGAAAGCAGGATCAATCAGGACTCTAGGCGGCTCGCAGGTGTCTTATGCGTCACTGTTCGGTCGATAGTTCGCTGCTCTCTGATTGACGGTATCATTGCGTTATACAATAAACAGGGCACACAGGTTCACAAGTTATAACAAGTGATATCTCATTTCAACGAAAACACGATATTACGCGACTCTTTTCAACTCTCTGCGGTAGATAACTATCGCACACATGACATGGTTGAAATCCACTGGTCACGATTTTCCACTAAAACTTTGAGCGCGAAACCTATAGCCCTGGATTCGATTATGACTGATTTGGGTTGAAACAATTTAGTTTCTAGTAAGAATACATATATACGTAAGACTATGAAAGTAACTTACTTTCTTTCATAATTCAATTGATCACAACAAGATGTATTATAGTCTAGTGTAAATTGATTAGACCATAGAATAAGTGTACATAATGATTGACCAATTTCATAATTCATAATTGAATATAACCAATTATGGTTTTGAGAATAAAATAATCTAGAATATTTCATGAGAATACCATGTTTCAATAATGATGGTAATTTATTCATATCAAGACTAATCCATATATAAGATTCATTGGTTAATAAAGGATAATATGGTTTAATGCATGAACTATAGTGAGAGAGAAAAAAAGAAGAAAGGATAAGAATGAGCTTATTCATTAAGAAAATAATCGACGAGATTATCATTTATTGGAAGAGTGAATCAGATTCACGATAACAGATCTTGAATTTTGGCGCGAAATTCACTTGTCCATTTGGTTAAATAGAAGTTTTGGCAATTATAGCTGATTTCACTAGTTGAAATCATGAGTCAATTGAAGCCAGACCACCATGGAAAAGCTGGTAGCACTGAATGGCTGTTTCGTCCTAGTATGGGACTCCTCAGCAGTGCACGGACACGAGATTCGAACCCAGGATCTATCAGTGTCGCGCGCGAGCGCTTAACCATCAGACCACTGAGCCGGCATCCAACAATGTTAATGTCCAACTTTAACCAATCCATGAAATTGCGCCACCGTCCACGATTGTCTTCAGTGAGTTGACATCTCACAACAGACCTGGTTGAACTCCACTGATGTCAGTTTGTGATGAAAAACCTATATCTGATTACTAACCCTAACTATTAGCTGTAAAACATTAGGTCCTGGTTTTTAGGTGGACACTTTCAAGGTCAGTCTAGAGTTGTTCAAAGGTCGTCCATAAATTATAACCTCACCAAATGATCTTGTATAAATTTTGTAAAAACTTAGGAAAAATCAATGGGATACAATTAATCCATGACAATAAATAACCTGAGAAAAAGTCGAATAACACATAAACTGAAATAACTATATTACCAATGTCATTCAAAGTCTCTAACCATCGGTTGCTATCATCTCGCGGATCCCAACCAGGTAGTCTACACCTACCAACATGGCTCAGTCCACTTGTAAGTGACATCATGGATTTGTGCTACGTCCTGATCTGGCCGCTCCTAGCTTTCTTCCAACCTACTCCTACACCATAAAACATCGCACGTCGGGGCATTCGGTGGTTGGACATACGTAACACGTGTCCCACCCATCTCAACTGGTGAAGTTTCACTACTTCATCAATTGATTTGTCAAACTAACCTAGTAGCCGTTTCCTAACTGTATTACTTACTCGGTGGTCCCGGGATATACGAGCAATGGTTCAAATACACCTATGATCGAATACTAGTAACCTACAAATATCCTCTACTCTTACCGGCCATGTTTCACAGCCATAAAGTAGGGCGGAACGAACTGCTGAGCAGTAAATCCTTTGGTTGGTAGACGGATATCTCGCCTACGCTCCTCGTGGAGGAGAATAGGCTACCCACCAGCACTCTCCATCCAACTCTATCCTGGGCAATCCTTTCCAGTTAGTATTCATTATTAATACAAAATTATGACTCACAATTAAGTGAATGAACCTACATTTAGTGAGACATCGTAATTTTAAGGCTGAGTGATCTCAAATGGTTGTACTCGAACAGAGTTAGGTGAAGAAAAGCTTGGAATTTATCACCATGATACATACTACAAAATTCAAAAGGAAATACTTCGACAGTTGGAAATATTTATTTAGTTATTTACTCATCAGAATTCATGCAACCCAATTTACATTCAAATGTCCTCAGTCAGTCAGTAACAACGTAGAACTTCGTATGTACGTACATCAGTTCGAGCTACCATACCATATTAGCACACAGATACAATTGTCAATTCAAATCCCGTAGTGGTAGAGGTAGTAGAAGTATAATCAGTAATCGGAAACAACGTCCTACAATATATGTGATGAGGAGAAAAGTCATAAAGGTTGATTAGTACAATAGTGCTTTCAAATAAAGACTAATGATCATTATTTCTTGTAATGACAGCAGCACACAAGATTTTTATTGTTTAAAAAACTGCTTAGAAATTAAAATGTTAACTTACCGATCAAATTTATACTTTTTAAGACTTTGAGCACAAATATGTAGATTATCATTAGATTGAATTTTTACACCTATCAATCAAAGGAAGGTAAAGGAATGTTGTTAAATTATAAACATTCATTAGGGATTAACAGCTATTATGTCAAGTCTATTCTATAAAGATGAATCAATCATGATTGAGACAATGACTTCAATGACTTACGTCGTCGTTTAACTAAATATACAATACTGACTATTGACCCAAAATGTGATTAATTTCAATTATGATAGAATAAAGTATTTTCATAGTGTTGAACTGCTTAGATAGACGATATTACATGGTTGTAGACACATAGTAACTTATAAAGAGCATGAGGATAAAGTTTTCTAATGATAAATTGTATCTAAGATATACTAATCAAATTAGTCAGTAAAAGCCATGTATAAGAAACGTTCATGTGATCAACTTCTTGAAACACAACAAATACATTTTGTTTTGTTTGTCTGAATCATTCTATTGATGTTTAGGACTTTCCTGGAGTGAACATCAACTCTGGCATGCATGTACATTTATTTATTATTTATTTAAACACATAAACATTGGTACCAAACAGATATGCGTCACATAAATTATTCGATTTATGTGAAGGCTGGGATACTGTCCGGGTGCCCAAACCGAGACAGGTGGTTTTCTTAGGGGCCCAGAGCCTTCGACCTAAAGGCCTAATCCACAAGGCAGTGAAGCAACGTCAGGAGATGCATTGCCATGGTGGCCGGTGATCAACAATTGGTTCATACACCATTTGTTTTTTTAGGATCCTGGAGACCATGTACACGATTGGTTTGGAATCAGGGTTTTTCAACTCACGTAGATGAACCCTCCGTATCCACCAACCCAGTTATAGAGTCGGGCATTCGCTTTTCGTCCTCTCGACTTCGTAAAAAGCACCCTGCCACGAGAAGCCAATGATTAGAACTTTGCTAGCAGTGGTTGCATGCACGTGGCCATGTCAGGGCCTTTCGAGAGGGAGAGCTGACTCTCCCCACTCTCGGTCGTACCATAGCTGACGAATCCCGAAATCGGACAAAACATGCGTCCTGGACTCCACTGCTATTCACCATCTATCTTTGCTTACAATACAAAAAAAACAGTTGGGATATTTAAATTGATATGAGTTGAATCAAGTAAACAGTGTTGAGTAAGAAATTTAAAAACGTAAATTCTCGCCAGCTTTAAAGTGTCATCTCAAATTTTACATCAATAATGGTATTTCAATCATAAATGGAGATAGTGGATGAATATGCGAAACAACGCTAAGGAAATCATAAAGAGAGGTTAATTTTGAAAAGATTTGACAAGAACGAAGATCAAGAGGAGTTTCCATATTTCACATTATCACAGTGAGAAAGAGAATACATTCAGATAAAAACCAAAGATGAAATAATATTACGATGAATGATAGTAACTAAACAAAGAGCATGCCTTGACGGAGTTTAAGTATTTTTATTAAGAAAAGACAGAGATTGAATATATCATTGCAGCTATAATCGATTCTAATTCACATCAAATAAGGTCTCTAAACATGGGTCGTGATTGTTTCACAAACCCCAAAAAGATGATTAATACTTTCCGAAATGCATTAATCTAATAATTAATCACCTCACTGATTAATGTCGTGTATTAGTCTTCCAGTTTTCTCTCACATCAGTCATCATTGCACTCCAAGGAAGTTCGTGGCTAAACTTAAAAAGTTAATGACTTGAAAACACAATGAGACTTGAGAACTTCAAAACTAGTACAAAATTATTATCCAATTTACTAAGGTTCTAGAAAATTATTCAGTTGGTACATACTTTAACGCCTTTAAATCAAGTTAACTAGTTCTATCAAAAGACCAATGAAAGGTAGATTTTAAAAAATCACAGATAAACTAACTTGTAGATTATATTCCTCAAACAATCTCAATTAAGATACCGTTGAAAAAGAGGAAGGATATGACAGTTGAGATGGTGGAGAAGATTTGTAGCCCAGGTGGATGATTTTGGTGGTTTCGTTCTCTGAGCTGGATGGTTTGGTCGACCAAACCATCCAGCTCAGAGAACGAAACTCCACCAAGATATGACAGTTGTTTTCTTAAAAATTTAAATTAATCCACCAAGTACTTGGATGTAAGGCACACTCTAAGTGCGAGGACTAATAATACTGCGTATATGCCAAGTTGAAATCGTTATTAAGACGAGGCTCTCTAGGAGTATACAGTCGTGGTCCCACCATGGATCACGCCCAGGACCTTGATATCTCGTCCCGAACACTTAACCATTAGAATAACTGAGATAGTATCCAACTTTTCAGTGATAACCCAAATGAAACTGATTTGTAGCAAATACCACCCATAAATCAAATCCATCTCCACAAAATCTTATAAATTAAAATAAAGCGACTTACAACAATAAGGGCATACTTCATTTTTTTCAGTGAATGAATCATAAAATCCCAAAATCAGTACAACTTCACTGTCGTTTGATTGATTGCCATATATTTCAGGTATTTTATAACCAAGTGAGTAAAAATCGGTGGTATTTGAAAAATTTGACTTTTGATTTCTCAGTAGACTGAGTTCAGTTAATTCAGAAGGAATAAACATAAAAGTTTTTCGCTTTGTTTTATCCATACATCTGCTGATAATTCAAAAGGAAATTGTAAAAATGTAGAACGGGTGATGAGGAATTCTAAGATATAAACATAAACGTTTTAGGATCACTTGGGAATTCATGTAAAATTTCAGTGGTTTTAAGATAAAAGTTTTGATATGTTTATTTGACAAGTCTTATGATACAAGAGATCCTCGAAAAATGTTTTTGTTCAAATTCAAGAATTCGTGAGTAGGATGAGCCGATATTCATTCGTATATGAGGGCCAACTCGTAATTAGCCTCTTTAAGCTGTATTTATCAATTCATATTATTTCTATGAACAGAAGTACACTAGTCACTCGATGAAAATTTTGTTCACGAAGGTGAAGAAATACTGGACAGCATGGTTAATGAACGGTACCAGTTATTGCACAAGAGATCAATCGCCTTGTCAGTATAGGGGACTTGTTCTTATCATGAACTTTATATACGAAGTATGACTTTAAATATGTATTTTACTCGCTCTTTTAATACTAAAAATCGGTCTTAGCCATTTTGTTAAGCTTTCGATCCAAACAGATCTATACTTCTTACCATCTCGTTCTTCAATTAAATTTCATTTTCAAAACTTACCTTATCATGGTGTACCACCGAATTCCGTGATTATTATTATTCACCTAATTTGTATGGCATTTTATTTAAGCTTGAATAAGCCTTTATATAATGATAACAGGTAATGTACACCATTGCTTAACTGCCATTATTACGTATCACTTCAAAAACATGTAGATATTATTGTACATCTAAAAATGAATTTGTAGAGGAGAGATTTCATATATGAATCACATTCTTGTTTTTGACATTCAACAGGTTTTTAGTTCATTAAAAAAGACACCAAAAGTATTGAGACTAAGAGTCATGTAATATATGGGTGAATGAGGTAGGTAATAACAGAAGTTTCATAGTGTATTAACTATCAAAAAGGTTATCACAGTGAATTTTCTTGTGTTTTATCTCACTAAGCAGTCTTATTGAAAACTAGGCAAACGAATTATTTTAAAACAATTTCAGAACTCGTACTACCCAAAATACAATAATTATAGGGACTCCTATCACTTTTAAAGCCTTGCAACATGGATTGATAAGAATCGCTCCAAGTCACTCAAATCTTTCTCTGAGATACATTTCAGTTAAATTGATCTACGAGAGAGGAGGTAAAAGAAACGGGACTTTTCCGTAAAGACTGATATATATGGATCGAAGTAAGGCCATTTGCAGATTCGTTAAGAATGATGTTTAAAAGATGGGGTATTTGCCAAGTGACTGAACCCTTAATAAAAATTGCCCGAAACCCAAGTACTAACATGTAGCGATTTACGTCTAACCAGAAGGAACTTGAAGTATTTTGGAAGAGTGTAGACCAGTGAGGACTGGGAAAGAATAGAACAAGGGAAAAACGAGAGAGCGTCCAACAAAGTGTACGAGTCATGATAAAAGCAATCGATACTAATAGAAAATAACATGATATTAAACGAATCGACAACTTACCGATAATATATGTGATTTCGAACGTGCCACAAACCTTGAACGTAAACTCAGCGCCTACTTTTTTAGATTTTAAATGCTTTCGAAAAAGCACAAAAACCAGTTTCACTTTCATTTTGTAAAGACAGAATGCTGGATGGCCTGTAATATTCCCGGCAATGATTATCTCTCAGTCGATCTATTTTTTTGAAAGAGTAGACAAATGAACTTTGGTCACGTGTTGAGTTAATAAATTCCATTCGTTGATGATTCAATGAGACAGTTGATAGTAATTTGAAAAGTAATTTTTTTAGGCCCGTGAAATTTTCAAGAGGTTTCTCGCGAGTTTTGTGTTTTGGAATACGATTGATGGTATGCCGGTTGCAAATCTATCATTTATTTAAAAACTGTTGTCAAGTCGCCTCTGATTCGTCCATAGGACAAAAGAAATATATTCAGTTTAGCTAGTCCAGCATCATACGGGAGCTTAGCTGTTGTTCTGTGAACCTTTTTCAAGAGCTCACTCCCTCGTCTAATGTGAGTGGTAGCTGCTTGTATGCAGAACTCAAGTTAAGGATGCACGAATGCTATATACAAAGTCAAAAAGGTTTTAGCAACGACATGCATTCTATAGTTCTGCATATATTGACATCGTCAGTATGTAACAAAATCGATGATGATAGGAGACTGGGAAGGTCATTTACATACAAGAACAACATCTTCCCCTGACTTAATCCTGAGGCACTCCAACAAGCAGCTCTCTAGTTAAACAACTTTGAGTTCATCTATACACTTTGTTGACGTCCATGTGAGAAATCCCTTAACCACATCAATAAACTGACTTTCATACCGATATTACTTAATTTATATAGCACTCGTTTAGGAAAAACTTTGTCAAAAGCCTTGCTCAAGTCACCAAGGGCTAGTTCTATAAATAAATTTTGGTCTTTAAAAGCGTACCAACTTTCACGGTCTACCAGTAAGTTGGTAAGACAGGAATAACCTGTTCTAGAGCTATGCTGATTTTCAGATAAAATCGTGTTTTCGTTAAAATACTTAAACAGCTCTTTCCGAATAATCTTTTCTTTAACATTTTAACAATCACGCTGGTGAAGCTTACATACCGTTTGTTCTCATCTTTGTGTTTGACAACTGTTTAAAAATTAGGAATTACTGCGGCATTTTCCAGTCTCCTGGTAATCGACCATGGGTTGTAGATAGATCAAAACATATGCTCAAGAGATTTGCGACGAAATCAACTGGTTCTTCCGGTAATCCAGAAAGCATTTCGTCGTGTCCCATAGATTTTCTTACATCAAGCTCATTAAGCAGACCAAAGGCATCGAGTACTTTAGTGGTCACAGGATACAGTGTCTGAGGGGGTGCTTGTATGAACTGCATGGAAGAATGTCTGTACGTTATATACTTTGCTGAAGCAGGTTGAGAGTACCTGAGATCTACCATTGTCGTTACCAATAATTAGGAAGTACTCTTATCACCCCATAATACTGGAATATTAGTCCTTTGGTTTATGTACGAATATGAGTGTTTAAGGCATTTTATAGATACCTTAACCGAGATTTCATGCAGCTTTTAAAACTTGCGGGCAGTCGAGGCAAAATTAGTAGGAATAACTGTAAAGGACCAGTTACTCCTCAGTATTACTCACTAAGGTGTGGAATAATTCGTTTCCCAATGTTATTATACGCTGACGATGTAAAAATTTGGCGAGTAATAACTGGAGACAAAGACGCATTTACTCTTCAGGTGGACTTAAATAATATGATAAACCGGTCTAAAGAGTGGCTAATGCCTATCAACTCGGAAAAGTGTGTCTACATGCACTTGGGGGATTCAAAGGTTAATACGTACAACATAGGGGATGTGTCATTACCCGTAGTCCGTTCTCATAAGGACCTAGGGGTGACAGTGAGCAATGATCTTAAGACGACGGCCCATTGCCGGGAGGTCGCAGTTAAAGGGTTTCGAACCCTCTGGGCTTTAAAAAGGACATTCACTAAGCTTGATACTACCATGTTCACCACATTATACACATCCTTAGTGAGAACTAAGTTAGAGAACTGTGTTCAGGTTGCAAGCCCCTGTCTCAAAGGTGACTCGGACATAATAGAAAAGGTACAGAGGGCAGCTACGCGTGCAATTCCGGAACTCCGGGGTTTATCATATAAAGAGCGGCTTGAAAAACTGAACCTCTTTACTCTGTCCTATCGCAGACTAAGGGGAGATCTAATATTGATGTACAGAATACTGAGAAATGATTTCGGACCTAACTTATTCTCTCTCTTTCTTCCCACTAGATCGGGACACCTCAGAGGACATAGCAGGCGAGTAGAAAAGCCAAGAACGAACAAAATACTCGTGGCATACAGGTTTCACACCGAGTCATCAATACTTGGAACCTGCTGCCTGAAGTAGTGGTGTCCGCACCTTCAATTGACTCTTTCAAGAGAAGACTGGACACTCACAGAAGCATACTAGAAAAGGAATAACATAGGCCGTAGGCCTTCTCTCCTTACTACACAAATCTGAATCTGAATCTAATGAGCCCGATATACTCGAAACATAGTGAATACTTATTCAAATTCGCAATTGCATGACGACTCGTCATGGCAGATCGCAACAATTTTTCAGGTAGACTGATTCAAAGCTCAAATTTTTATATGACAGTTATATGCATCATTACAATATTGTCAGTTATATTGTATAGCAACTATCCATTTATTTATATTCTATACACATGTTTGCTTTTTTATTTCAGTTTCTCTATATTGCTTTTTGTTCACCTAGACTATAAATAAACTGAGGAAGCAGTACACTGGTCAAATTGTGTTGTGATAACTACGAATACTGCTACATTTCTCGTTCATTTCATGTAGTTTGCCTAACAAGCTGATTGCCTGAATGCACGAATCCTCAAAATATTTAGCGCTGGAATTTCGACTTCATGTAATCGCTAACAACCCTGATTAAAAGTAAAACGTCGTAAGCTAAACAGTATGAATAGTTTGATCGAGTCAGACGATCCAACAAATCTGTACTTCACAGCTCCATGGGCAATGTGTTATCTGGATTTTTGGACATTCTGATATAAAGGATAAAGTTAAGACGTTTTAATACTCGATATGATGTTTGGGTAATCTGTAATCCTGCAAAACGACAATCGTCAAGTTCTAAAAGCTTTTTTAGACCATGTTCAAGATAATAAATTCCAATGAGCACCGCATCTACTTTAGAAAGCTGATTGATGTTTATTTAATGGCCTGTCCGACCTTATTAACGCCACGAAAAGCCAGTGCAAGTCGATCAATCGTTGGAATGATTTCGCCTGCGCAAAAGCGACCGAATCCCAACTCTATTTTTGTATGAAATGTAATACCCTTCTAGTAAGAGTTTGTCTGTTCCCAGGCAACAGCAATAAAGCCATAGAGCTTGTAAACAATGTTAGTGAACTCAATTTATATAACCATCGCGTGGTGCGATTTCACGAGAAATCTCAGTTCGCATATACCATGCATATCATCGTTTTAACGGTGAGTTTTTATCGGTCTTCCCTCCCTTTACGATTTTGGTTCTCTTTGTACCTTCGCTATTGTAGGTTCTCTAGATCGACTGTCATGTCTTTGGTTTTACAGAACACTATTTCGCGGTAGTAGCTACGTTGGCTCATCGTTTTCGGATATTTGCACTTATGTAACAATGTTATTCAATAACCAGCAAACACAAATGACTTCCTTGTTTTCCGACAGATTTTCCTTCGATAGGTAACAACTTTGTATTTTTTAACCACTTGCTTATTTCGCGTTACAAGGTCGACTTCGGAAGTTTTCTGAGACTGTTCATTGGTCGTATAGTCTGGTAACGCCAGTCATTTTGGTATTTCGCACAGTTAGTATCATTGGGTTAAAGTAATAATCTTTAACCATGTTTTGTTATTTTATACGAAAGTTAAGGGGTCGCGAATTCACCATAGTGTGTTATAAAGAAGATAGAGCTCCAGGGAGTGTAGTTTTACAGTACGAAAATATTCCATTTTTGGTAATACACAACTTCCCTACTCAACTTTCCTGTGCGTATTCTAAGCGCTTTCCAACTTAAT